AAAATCGGGTAGACTATTCGATAATTAAAGTTAGATCTATAGTATTACTAGTAATATTACTTAGAACCTATACGATTAGGGTCCGATACTAATAAGAAAGGTAAATAAATCTATACTAAGTTATATACTTATTATTTCTCTATATAATACTAATAAGAGATAGAACTAATAGTCTTAGATTTATATTTAACCTTAAGGGGTTCGTTAGTAACCTACTTCTTTTTAGCTATATATAAATAGATAATATACTAATTTAAGTAATATTAGATAGGATAATTTTATTTTAGATATATAGAAGAACTAGAGTTTTAAGTATAATAAGTAGTCCTAATAGGACCTATATAAGGAGAAGTTAATAGCGGATCTACGTTAGAATAGTTATAAACCTTAGATACTAACTTAGAAGTAGCTAAAGGAGAAGAGAGTATAGACTAATCTATAGATAGGTCGTTAATAGGATTTATACTATAACCCTAATTATAACTATAACTATAACTATAACCGTAATTATAACTATAACCTTATACTATAATAAAAGAAGGTTCTTATAGAAATAAATAGGACTCGTAGAAGATAAGATAATAAGATATAAAGGGATTACCTACGAAATATATAAGAAACTATATATAAATAATAACGAAATAACGTAAAGAAAGAAAGATTATAGTTAGAAAATTAAAATAAATTCCTCTTTTATTTTAAGCTACCTTTATTATAAAAAAGGAACTATATATATAGTACCTTCCCTTTTATCGAGGAGAATAAATTATAAACCTCCTATACTTATTAATCCTAAAAGTATTAAGTAGGATCGTTCCTATAGCTTCCCTAAATATAGCTATAAAAGTATTAGAAACGGACTCTAAATACCTCTATTTTATAATAGTCTAATAAGTATATCCTATATCCCTAGGAAGTAGATTTAAAAGTCTACCCTAATCTAATAGAGTTAAACTATAACTATTAAGTATAGTCTATATATTAGCCTAATAACTATTTATAAACTCGTTATAATTCGCCTAAAATAACTAGACTATTATTAGAAGACGAATTATTAATAAAATAGCTATAAGATATTTATAGCTTATATTTTCTTTATACCTACTAAATTCTAATATAAATAGTAACTAATAACCGCCGCGTTAAATACCTAAGCTAAATTATATAAATTCTTAGTAACTTCTATATAGATCTACTTTAATAACTCTATTTTATTATCTAGAAGAACCTTTAAAAATTTTAGGATAGTAGAAAAATCCTAAGTATCCCTTATTATACTAATAGGTACCTATATAAAATAAGTATAGATCTATTATAATAAAGACCTAAAAATATACTATATCGTAAGTCTTCTTATTTATATAATATCGCTTATAAAAGATAGATACGATTATATTATACTAGTAGGAAATAGAGAAAACCTCCTTTTTAGTAGTATTAAAGGACTTTAAATTAGAACGTAAGTAGCCTAGGCACTAGACTAGTTTTAGTTCCGGTACTAGATCGCTAGTATCCCGCCTATTAGCTACTACTACGGCTATACTAACGAAGCTCCGAATAATAGAAAAAGGGATAAACTCGATAGGAACCCTTCTTACCTTATAACTTATACTTCCCTTTATTTAACCTAAAACCCCGGGACGGGTTTTATAGAGAAGAGGGGATAGTTATTACGGTATTTCTTTATTATACTATTTTACCTTAGGCTCCCTTTCTCTTAGACGGAGGAGACCCCTCCGAATACCCTACGATATCGGGATAGAACTAATATAATCCGGTTCTGAGAAGCGGGGAACCTAAATCATAAAAGGAAGACACCTAGAGGGATAGGGAAGGCAAGATTCAGTCTTATAACCAATACAGAATCGAATACCCTTCGCTCTAACTACGTATCCCTCTCGTATCATTATTCACCTAGTCAACAAGTACTACCTTAACAAATAGTTACCTTAACATTCTCCTAGATAGTTTCCTTCCCTTCTTCTCTTCTATAGACGAATATAGGATTTCTAGTCTCTCTCTCTCTCTTCGTAGCGTAGAGTCTGGTCCTATCTATCAAAAATAATCTAATATTTTAATAGTAGTAAGTCTAAAATCTATTTATATACTAAAAATTTACTTATCTATATAAATATTATCTATATTAGCCTATTTATATTTTAGAGAGAAACCTATATCTATTTTCTAGTAATTATTACTTTTACTTATAATATACTCTCTTTTCTAATAACTAATATAGATATTAAATATCTATTTAATACCGCTTAAGATATTTATTATTACCGTTATAGTAAAATAAAGTCTTACACTATTAAAGATCTAATAATATTTCTTTATATAACTAGATTTAATATAGAAGAATAAGAACTAAAGCTTTTAGAGAAGTTCTTTTCCTAAGAAGAAATTAAGATTATAAAGAAAGAGAGGGAGGAAAAGCTTAAAGTTATTAAAATTAAACTAATTAGTAATATAGAGGAGTAAGAGAAATTAGAATAGTATCTAAGAGAATAATATCCCTTTAATTAATATTAATATTAATTCTAGGCCTAATTTACTAATACCCTCTAAGATAACCTAGATATAGCTTAGGAAGAAAGTGGAAAACTCGAGAGGATAATAATTATGTACATTCGAATTAGATATTAATTATTAGTATAATATTTATCTACTAGTATTATAATATTAATAATCCTAGACCTACTAAAAAATAATAATATCTAGGCCTTAATAATATTTATTTTTACTAGAAACTACTCTCTAATAAAGAAGATTTATAAAATTAGACGGATTTACTATTTATTCTAATTATTTCTTTAGTATTAGAAAGTCTACATTAAAACTATATATTATAAATATATATTTCTACTACTTAAGTATATAAGTTTTCTAACCCTACTAATTATAGTATTATTTCATAAGAAATTTTATATTCTATTAAGTAATTAATATATTACTAGACCTTAAATACTAATAAATAAGGATATTTTATTAAGTCTAACTTACTATGCTACTAAATATCAAAGTCTTTCTTAATATGACTAAAACTAGGAAAAATTATAGTAGTCAACTTAGATAAGTAAGGCACTCTATATAGAGAATTATGTAAAAGTTGGGTCCAATTAGGTTTTTATTAGGTTATCCGGTGAACCTAACGTTGGGTCCGGTATGGGCCCCGGTCGGGATATTCGACCTAATTCCGGTGCGTGTGGAAGTCTAGTCATTTATTTAGGTGATTTAGCCACTTTATGAACGCTAAGACCATAGTTTTATGTAATTTCGAGCCTAAGCGGGGGGAGGGGGACGACGAGCCCCCCCTTCGAGCCAGGGTCCGGGTCGAGCTTGAAAAGTTCGACCCCCAGCTCGTTACGGGTCGGGTTTCGAGCCCGGACCTTGGGCCCAAAGTTGGGCTTTACGGAAGTCTAGTGCTAGCCTCACCAGTGACCACTAGTATTCTTTTACACCCACCTACCCTTATAGAATGGAGATAGGGTCAGTGGCTGATAATGTCCAACCTTGGTGTGTAAAGTCATGAAAAACAAACTACTCCTATATATCTAGCATAAGGGAAGAATATCACGATGACATCATTCATGTTGAAGACCATACAAAATTAGAAATATAATTACATCCGTCAACACAATGGCAGCAGTTGACTGCTTAGCAGGCAGCCTTAATGATTTAGGTCTGCGATTATGGCCCATGGCATCCCTAAAGAAAAAGGGATGCGTATGAGTCACAGTTGAACTAGTTCAAATCCTGGACAGTATATTACTTTGTAGCATATGAGAATAGTGGTTTGTATCTAGCAAAAGAAAGAGAGATATGAGTAGGATATAGGTCAGACCTAGTGTAAGTTACCAGGCCTCACCACAAGAGGATAATGAAGAAAATTGCATGAAAGAGAAAGCATGAAAATCCATACATCCATAGATCCATAGATCCATAAATCCACAAATCCACAAATCCACAAATCCACAAATCCAAATCCACAAACCCACGTACCCACAAATCCACGAATCCACGATAAGGATCTACGCCAATCGATCACATGGGACAGGGGTCAGTGCTCTAAGATGATTGGCCCACTCCTGCGGCCGGTCCTATTAGGTGATTGCCCGCATGGGATGTTGTCATGTGGCAGCAGACTTTAGGCAGGAAATGAGGAAAGGAGAGTCATAGAGCCCAGCGAAAGATCAATACACCACCATTTACCAAAGAGTCCTAGTACTTATCTTGCACGTACTTAGATATGCTAAAACCCAGGGACAAAGGCTTTACACACGTACCTGTACTCAAATTCTATTTTAGGGGTTGGTACCATACTGTACCCAAGTGAGTTCCAAATGATGAGATCAGCTGGTTCTTTCCACCTGGGCAGATGACGCCCAAACCCCTCGGACCCTTAATGCCGCTCTGATGCCCCCCACTAATCCTCTTACAGCCAGTCTATTGGTCTCATGAGTCCTGGAGAAACTCGGACTTTCCATCGCTAAGCGCCACCCCGCAGTTTATCATCACCCTCAGCCCCATCTCAACTGACTCACAGCTCGCTTTCAATCCCGGATTTGTTCATTTCAAGTTTCCTGCCCTTCCCCCTCTATTTATTCTCACGTTTCCCCCAATAATCTTGACTTGGTTCATTACCCCTTAGTGGGAATTTGACTCATTCAGCCATTGGAGCCTTAACGCCCAGACCTAGGTCATACTTGGCTTATCGCCACTCAGACAGACAAAGAGGTAGACCTGACAAATCACCGGTTTTGCCTGGTGATTCAACTTCCATTGAGTTCCATGAACATTCGCTCATCTAGCTTTCGCCATTCATATTCCCACTCTTTTGCCTAGCGTATTCATCCACTCTCTTTCTGGAATCGGGAGACCATTACTCTGGACACCATTAACCACCATTAACCCCCTATCGCCAATTACCGCTGGCTCAGTGGTATCTAACTGGAATGACATTGTCTGATGGCTGGCAACCAGCCAAACAGCCATCCACGATGCATCGTCTTCCGTCTGTTTCTAGCCTCATGTCACCCCCCGAGACTAAGCCCCTCGAGAACTTTCCTGCTCCAATCCCTCCATTTGTAAAGCCTCGAGGTTCTTCACCTGGTGACATAAAGCTCCCACCTATCTCTGCTGATCGAAAACGGACCCAGTCAGAGATGGACCTCCCATCGCCACCCGTCACCCCATACACAGGGAACAAGAAGAGCAATCCCCACGTCTCGGATCAAATTGAACGAGATGTGGGATCCCCGAGGGACCCTGTTCTATTCCCTCGACAGGACTCCGTTACTGACGTTGCCACGGATGAGCCGCTGTTCGGCCCCGCTCACCCTCCGTCTGCAGAGGCACTTGTTGAAAAACATATTGATTCACATATGGCAATGTTTCGCAACAAATTGAACAAGCCAACAAGAGATGAATATCTGCTGGCGCTCTCCTGTGTTCCTATTGTCTCAACGCAGTATAATCGCAACCCGGCAGCTTGGGCTCGGGAGGAACGAGAGACACTGGAGCGCCAAATGGCTATGATGAATCGCTACCGCCCGATAGGTAGCGAGCCCAAGTTGAAGAAAATTGCTCCCGCTCCGATGAAGAAATCAGGGGTCCAGCCGCGCGTGCAGCGGACCCGGACCAAGCGCACTCCCAAGTCTACGCCCAATCAGCAGGTGTTAGACAACTTTGATACCCCACAGACTCCCACTACGAAACCGCGTGCCCTAGGTATGAATCGTGATGATACCGATTATCAATCACTAAAGGACTATTCGCCCCCGGTGGCAACGCTAGGCAGCAATGCCAAAGCATTGAAGGCGGACTGGAAGGGACAGATGTTGGACCTGAGCAATGACCCGGACAGGCATATTCTCAGTCCTGCCGAGCTCAATTTGGCCTCTACGTTACGACTTTCATGTGCGACCTATCTTTGCAGCAAGCGTCGTATCTTTGAAGCTCGAGTTCGGGCTCTTGGCGTTGGCAAGGAGTTTCGCAAGACGGATGCTCAGCAGGCTTGCAAGATCGATGTGAACAAAGCCAGCAAACTTTGGACCGCCTATGAACGTGTGGGTTGGTTTAAAGCTGAATATTTTCATAAATATCTGGCATGATGTTGCAGATCATTGTGTGCGATGGTAATGCCGCCAATCCACCACCTATGATACCCCGCCCCTCTTATCATCGGCTGGGCTACCATAGACACTATCACCGATCACTGACACAACCCCAGTGTCTACCACTGCTCATCACAGTCCCCGGAGATTAATCCATCTTGAGCGGAGTCACTCACCTCACCGCATAAGCAAGATGGCAATACATGAATGCTCATACAACCCATCCCTATCACCTTTTTTTGCCTTTCGGTTTCTTCAATTGCGGCCTCATATTCACGACTCTTTATGACACGTTCTTTTTTATCAAGATTCCCCCCTGGTTGTTGTTTTCCGTTCCTTTTTCTTTCTCTATCGCCTTGTTCTCTTTCTTCTTTGCATACAGACGCATCCATTTTGATCTCCGTCGATCGTCACCCTAAATCTCTATTGCTGGCTATGGCGTTGAGTGGTTCGCTTTCGATTTGGTCTAGAATGGCAGACTTGGTTATCCATGGGTGTTTTCTTATCTTGCAGTTGAATTATTTGCTTGGTCCTTCTCCTGTTCAGCCCTGGAGAAAGTCAATAGCACATAGGACAAGGCTTGATACCCTGACCTTATATGGTTTAACTACAATGAATTCAATACATCTGTGAATGTCAACGTGAATATAACACAGTAACTCACATCAGTCTAGAGCAACGTGTTCAAGGATAACTCATTGGATAACTCATTGGATCTAGTAAATAGTATGGATAAACAACATTTATCTACATTTGAGGTTCAAATATATACATGTAGTAACCATATACATATGTACATATCAGTATGGAGTACGGATACGGAGTATAATGGACGTTTCTAATTTAAACCGAACTAAAGCGCTAAAGTGGTGGGGCGCGCAACCGTAATCCTCCGGCGGTCCTGCGCCACCTTTTTTTTGACGTATCCCTTGTCTTATCAACTTCTGCTTCACTTCAATCTTGACCTAGTACCCCTTCGAACAATTTTGGCAAGCCAAAGCCATGTCTCAGGCTGGAGTCACTCGTGCTGAGTCCATTGAACAACAGGAGCATGGGAGGGATGATGGTGACAAGAAGCCAAAGACTCGCCGTCCAGCTAGTAGGTCTTGGATGGAATCTCATCAATCTTTTGCGAAGACTAACCTACCCGTCCCAGATACTGCTTTTCGCCAGCAAAGATTGAAAGCATGGCAGTAAGTTCGACATACTTCTTGTATCTGCTCCCCCACTAGTCTGCCGTCCTAACTCTTCCCTAGACCCATCCTAACACCTAAGAGTGTCCTGCCTCTGTTTTTTATCGTTGGCATTATTTTTGCCCCAATTGGGGGTGTTCTCCTTTGGGCGAGCTCCCTTGTACGTCTCAGTTGATGAATCTGTGCCCAAAGGAACAGCTCTGATCCATGCGCTATAGGTCCAAGAAATCTCCATCGATTACTCTGAATGCTCCAGACTAGCACCGACTGACACATACGCATCTGTTCCGCATTACTCTGCAACCTTCAAATCATCCAAAGCCATATCGGCTCCCACCTGGAAAAAGACAAATGATTCGGGAATCATCACGTGCAGCCTCCTTTTTGAGGTCCCGAACGAGCTTCCCGCGCCCGTTTTCATGTACTATCGCCTCACCAACTTCTACCAGAACCATCGCCGATATGTTGCTTCGCTGGACTTGAATCAACTCAAAGGGGATGCTGTTTCGTATAATACGATCAAGGGTGGACCATGTGATCCTCTGGCGACCAACAACACGGCCAAGAAGGTCTACTATCCATGCGGACTGATCGCAAACTCCTTCTTCAACGATACCATTGGACAGCCTCAAATTCGAGACCCGAATGAGACTAACAATAAGGTAACATTTTACGAAATGACCAAGAAAGGTATCGCGTGGGAGAGCGACAAGGAACTCATCAAGCAGACCAAGTACAAGATTGATGAAATGTTGCCACCACCAAACTGGGTCTGGGCCAGCAAGAACGGTGTCTATGAAAAGATGCCAAACTTACATGAAAACGAAGATTTCATGGTTTGGATGAGGACAGCTGGTTTGCCGTCATTCAGCAAACTTTCCCGTCGCAATGATACTCATGCCATGCCTGCTGGAACCTATGAGATTGACATTGTTGATAGTATGTGTTCCAATATGCCCCTGTCTCTGCACTGCTAATGGTATCATAGATTTCAAAGTCACTGAATATGCCGGAACGAAGTCGATCCTGATCTCTACTCGCACGGTGCTTGGAGGAAAAAACCCTTTCATGGGGATCGCATATGTAGTGGTTGGTGGAATCTGTGTGCTGCTTGGAGCTCTCTTCACTGTCGCACACTTGGTGCGTCCAAGGTATGATGCCCCCATTCAGGAATTGTGTTTCATGGAGGTCACATCAAGCTAATTTTCCGGCCTACAGGAAACTTGGTGACCATACCTATCTTACTTGGGACTCAAACCAACCGAGTACTGCTGTCGCAACGGGACGGGATGAAAGGTTCAGTTCCAACGCTCCCTAGCCGGCAGTCTTCTTGTTTACTGGGTTGCTTCGCTGTGGCGTTTTCTATTTCCAGAGTATCCAATATTCCCACGCTGTAAATAATCGACAGGGAACTTTGAGGAATCGGTGTTTTAACAAGGTGTTTTTCATGTATCCAACTTAACATTGCAACTCCATCGCACTTTTTTCCTTCCACACTCAAGTGACGAAACTTCTAACATACCATTTGATCTTCCTGCGCTCTTGCTGTGTCGATCAGTTGCATGCTTGTAACCCTTGTTAGAGATATACATTCCCGCATGACGCCGCATTCCTTGCAGTCATGGAACTGGGCCATGCCAATGGCGTGTTCAGAGTGGAGGGATTCCAGCCATATAACTATGATACACTGGCCAGCCCCGAGAATCGGGGCAGGGGGAGGGGTGAGGTCTTTTTTCTTTTCGCTTCGTTTACTCTTTTCCCCACCCTATTCAGTTCGAGACAGATGTGCAGTGGGTGTCAAAATCAGAAGTCATCCTAGTGTCAGGATGGTTGGTCGCTGTTTTTATCAACTTGTGGTTTTGGTCACAACCCTAATCCTGCATATTGAATGCAGTCCCCTCACCCTCCAGAAAAGGGGTGTATGTGCCACTGAGGATCCTGGTCCAGGTTTCCTCGATGAAATAGGTCGTCTCAAGTCAGATGAAGCAGATCCTGGCATTTCACAAGCTAGGAAAGCTCCGATTGAGATTGAGACCTGGTTCCACATCGTGAGCAGCAAGTCCGAGTCCAACCAGGTCTCCGATAATATGATTAATTCGCAAGTGAGTTCTGCTCCCTCTCGTTCGTTTTGTTCTTTTTCTGTTTCCTATGGGGCAATCCGTGCTTATCTATCCATCCCACAGTTTTCAATCCTCCAACAATCATATGCAGACTCTGGGATTTCCTATCGGCTGCAAGGCGTGACTCGTCATGTCAATAACAAGTGGGCAAGTAACATGGATGACATGGCCATGAAATCAGCCCTTCGCAAAGGAACTTATCAGACACTCAACGTCTACTTCCAAACCAATCTGCAAGCCTCTCCCGGGCAAGCAGGACGTGTACTCGGACGCCGGGGTGCGAGTATCAACAGCGACCTGGGATCGAGTGTTCTGGGATTCTGTACACTGCCTGACCCGGGGGTCAATGCCAGTAGCCCAGCTTCCCAATATGTTAAGGATGGCTGCAATATCTTGGCTAAGACAATGCCTGGTGGCTCCTTAGATCTTTACAATCGAGGGGGAACCGCCATTCATGAGATCGGCCACTGGAATGGTCTTTTGCACACATTCCAGGGAGAATCTTGCTCTGCAGATAATCCTGGTGACTACATAAGTGACACCCCACAGCAGTCTACCCCAACCGATGGTTGTCCTGCCCGGAAGGACTCATGTCCGGATTCCCCTGGACTAGACGCAGTTCATGACTTCATGGACTATTCATCTGACGTATGTTATGAGAGCTTTACTCCTGGACAGGGACAGCGCATGCGGAGCATGTGGACCTCAATGCGGGAAGGGAAATAGTGGCACCCGTTCTTGCCATGGCCGTTTGAAGCTGCCAGCCTTCGCTTTGCTCCCTTTCGCCAGGTGCTAGTCATAGAAGATCTACCCATCCCGCATTTCGTGATCAACAGTCACTAGATACGAATCAACATGTTGTATTCCATACATCCACAGACATTGGTGGGAGACCTCGAGTGTCAAGTAAGCCGATCCCTGCTGTAATCCAGGCTGATTCCTATCTACCTGTCTAGTACGGAGTATATCACCTCAAAGTGATACCAAGCGTGAAATTGAATAAAGTACATTTGAGAAACTACCTAGCTTCCTTTCTGATTAATACCGTAAAATTTCTCTTCCGATTTTCAGTTCACCGCATCTTGGAGTCAATTTGACCTCATGTGCAAAGGCCAACCGACCAAGAGATGTAAGGCGTCTGTAGGGCTGGCCCGACCAAGATCCTCCCCTATGAGCCGACCAAAGACAAGAAGACAAGATCACAATGCAAACAGAGCCCCATTTGAACTAGCGTTTGCGTTTAGTCCCACGATCATTATCGTCGAGGTTGGTCTCCTTGTCCTTGCGTTTCGCCTTTTCCTCAAGTTCGTCCCAGTCTTCACCACTTTCCTCGTCGCCACTGAAATCTTCCTCGCTAGCATCGGCACTAGCGTCATCGTCAAATTCACTATCTTCCTCGGAACTCTCGTCCCCAGCTGCAAGCTCCGAATCAGACAACTCGAAAGCCGACTCCTCTTCCTCTTCTGAGCCCTCCGAGTCCGACTCGGCGGACAAGAAAGACCAGCCTCCATCAGCAAAGAAGCCGTATGGGTCACTAACGACTGTTTTCATGATCGTGGTCCAATTCAGGTTCAACGGACCCTCCGTGAATGCAATATCAACAGAATCAAGCCAGTCCTTAACACCCTCGAGTGCTTCAACAGGAATGGTGTTGATATGAACGGGAGTCCGGCGGAAATCCTTGAAAACAAAGACCATATCGAAGTTTTTAAGACCAAACTGTCATGAATCAGTAAAGTGAACTGATACAAAAAAAGTGTGTGAGGAAGATTTACCTGGACCCTTTCCAAATGAGCAATCTCAATTTCATTTAGCGTGACCGTCGTGAAAGGAGGCTCAGTGAGCTGAACTAAAGCATCTGTGGTGGGTTGAATCAAGACATTGGAACGGTTTGGAACGCCGGTAAACCCAATTTCTCTGAAAGGGATATCGACATCAACACCCTCATCCTTGCCCGCGTCTGCGATCTTTTCGGCAAAGGCTTTGAATTCACGGTCTAACGCAGCTCTTCGCCGTCTTTCCTCCTGCTCAGCTTCGAACTCTTCCTCGTCTCCGTATCTGTGCTTGCGCCGACGATTTCCAGTTTCATCAAATTGCATTTCCGTGGCCTCGCGGTAGAACTGGATATCTTTCGTCTTTCGCTTTCCAATCATAATGGGCGTCTTGAGATGTACATGGATCAAGACGATCAATTCATGGGCGCATGGCTGGAAGAAGAGATGCTTGACGTTGCTGAAAAGCACATCGACATGCTCATTGCGGAAGGGCGACAGATACCGAAGACCATTTTGATGAATCTCCACTTCTCCCGGAACACGTTTTCCGTCCAAAGGAGGCCGTAGGTAGACATCGGGAAGTTTCACTGGCCGTCGGTTTCTGATTTCGACAAGTTTATCTTGCTCAACAACATCTTCTAATTCCTTCTTCTCCTGCTCTCGTCTAAGAGCCGTCTTGCGGAGTTCTGTGATATCCTGGGCCACTCGTGCGAGTCGGTCGTTATCCTTAGACCGGAGAGTAAGGTTACGCACGAAATGGGCCGACAGGTCTTCAAAGGGTTGGTCATCTTTCCTGCCAACACCCTGACCAGGTGACAGGAAGTTGATTCGCAGATAGGCATACTCTCCTTCGTCGCTTTTGCTGGCATTTTTTATGGTGTTGATGTGGAACGGAACAGGCCGGCCCATGATAGGCACAATTACTGTTGAAGTCTTTTGGTCAACATAAACTGTAAGGTCTTTGACTTTGGCAGGGAGTTGGTTGTCCCGTTTGTAGGACTCAAAGCGCTTGAACTTCTTCTGTGCCACTCCATTGTCATCGCCCGTGGTACCAGTGAACCGATCTAGGCCTTCCTTAGTCTTCTTGGAAGCCAGCTCTTTTTGATGCTCCCGACGACGGGCTTCGGCTCCTTCATTGACCTGAGTGGGTCGTTCGGCACGAAGCTTGGTTCTTGTGACATTTCTACCCGCAGTTGCGCTGGATTTGGCTTCCTTTTTCTCTTTGATGGGCTTTTCAGGCTCTTCCTCATCCCCAAAATAGAATGAAATTGAATCCATATCGATTCCGGCATCTTTCGTGAAAATGTGGGGGCCGTTTTCTCCGACACGAACTGTATCAGTAATGACCATAGAGTATGCACCATTCTTGGCATTCTTCGGGTCTGAATCCTTCACATCAGTCAGCCCGATCGTAATAGACAGCGTCATGCCGTTTTTCAAGACTCGGTTATTCTTGGCATTGAGTATCATATTGGCATCCCGAAGCTCGATGCCAATCCCTGCGCCAACATTCTTCGAGAAGTGACTCTCAAGCTCAGGTTTTTTAGACCGAACGAGGCTCATTGCCTTGTTGTAAACATCCTTGGCCACCACACCGTCACGGATTTCTTTCATGGTTGCTTCATGAACACTTAACAACAGGGCATAGTTTGCTTCTTGCGATTTGGTGGGGTCAACCAGATAAGTACGCCCAATGAGCGAACTGTAGGTCTTGTACCTGATTCCGAAGCTGGACAGAATGATCCCGGCTTCGAGGTTTTTGCTGTCAGGTGTCGCTGTGAGCTTGAGATCGTAGGCGCCTCCACTTTGAATCACAGGTCCGTAAGCCCAATCGATCTGCTGGGGGTCAAATTCTGATGGTAGCCGCGCAAGTTTGTTGAAGAATTTTGCGTCATCAATCTTAGTATCAACCTTTGCAGCGAGGGCCTTGTGCGTCATCTTCTTTTCTTCATCGAGTAAACGTGACATTTCATCGACAAAGTATTCTGACATGAGACCACTGCATGCTCTGGAGGCATTGCGGATGGAGACCTTTGGAACTATGTCAGTAAAAAGTCACTCGTTAAGCATCTTGCCATAGGCCAACTAACTAATTCATCGGAGTCCTTGATTGCAAAAGCAGCTGAGAGTGCCGGTGTGATGTCCACTTCCTCAACTTCTTTTGAGATTTCTCCGAATGCGCGTTTCCATTCATCGGCAAAAGGCCCCGAGGCTGTATTCTTAGGCAAGACACCGACTTTGTTCTGTGGTTTACTGTGATTAGTGGAAGGCAAATCAAAATTTGTCGGAATCATTTGGTCCTCACCCCTGCGCCCTTGATGACGCTCAAACACCTTTCGAATGCTTTAGTTTTTGATTCTGGATCTTTGGTAGTGACAAGAATTTCAACAGGGATCTTGCCCCCTTTCAGAGGTTCCAGATGTTTTGCTGGAATTTGATCCTGTTAGCTATGCTAAGCGAATTTCCATGCGATGATATTAACCTTTTTTGGCCGTGGTGACGACATAGATCGATTCGGTCGTGAGGACAAACAGTGTCGCTGGAAACTCATACCCAAGAAGCCAGAACTAATGACAAACTCAGTTAGTAACAATTTCACCCCCAAGTTCATAAAATTCCATAAAACACGAGGAGCGCATCAGAAAATTACATACATGCATGGCATTGTTTTTCTGGAATGAGTTCTCCTCATCGGTCTTTCCCATCAGAATGACCATAGAACCTGCATTGCCAAAGAGCGTATTGCCCGAGCGCTTGTCTGCCTTCCATGACGCATAGAAACTGGATAAACGGCTGAAAAAGGTGTTACTATCGATAATAATTTCCTCGGCCATGGCGGTAGTCTGATGCGGTTAAGATTTGCCGCAGTGAGAGACAATGGGTTGATGGCGAAGGGCTTGGTAAAGAAGGTTAAGAGCTATGGTGGGTGTAGCAAGGTATTAGATTTGTTGAGAATGAAGCAGATATATGAGAGACGAAGGCAGCATCAATGCGACAGTTGCAATGATGAATGACAAACGCCAATGCCTTGGTGGTTGAAGAAAGAATGAAGACAGAAAGGGAAGTGCTGGGGGAAGTGGACGCGAAAAGCGCGTTCCGACGTTTCAGGCTCATCTAGCCTACCGTATCAAAGTATTTCCCTTTTAGGGTTAGCGCCATTATCGACACTTTGCTTCTTGATCCTCTCCATCTTTGGGCCTAAATATGTTTTCCTCTTATTGCTCATATTAACCCTGTTCCTATTCTTTCTCCTTTTCACTTTCAGGCCAACATGTTATACATGAGCCTTCACTTGAACGTTCAATTCAGTGAAAATCACACCCTGTGATGCTGCCTTCGCTTCAAAATCCATTGTCTATATCCAGCGAATCGCTCCTCAAAAACCGACAAGTAACTCTCATCTGATGCACACTGTGGTAATTCGATCGCCTATGAACAATGAATTCGCCGATAGCTCCGATTTTTCTTGAGCCTAACCTCGGCGAGCTTCCGGGAAGTTTGCGCCGGAAACCTCATAATGACGCAGCTACTGGAGCATCTGCCGCAGGCGTTCGCGCTCTCAGTGCACAGATGGTGGCCTTCTATTTCAGAGCGCCGATCAAGGCTTTTTTCCGTATGCGTGTGGAGTACGTAGTGCCTATGGCTCTTATGATGTTTGTGTTGACGGATTCTTGTTTAGTTACATGGTACAACCTTCCCCATGCTCCAATGGATCGGAATCACAGACATCTAATCACCAGCCTTTTTGCGGCGTTGTTTGGAACAGGCATTTGCAAGAGCTGTGAACCCTCGTGTTGCCGAAGGAAAATGGTCTCTTCACACAACAACTCCAGGATTATTGCTCCATGCTGTTCGGACATATGGCTGGCGCTTTATTCCAAATCAGGTCCTTCCACCCTTAATGGCAAATGCTGGGTGAGAGCTCCCCCGAATCTAGGGCCTAGGTTATTGAAATTGAAAGCTCTAACCAAGGTTTTTTTTCCCACAGTGTTGGTGCTGTTCTCTACACCTCCTACCTCCAGGTTTTGGGGGCTCTACATGAGCCGGTGTCACAGGGGGCCAAGCGAGTTTGGCCCCCGGCTCCACCATCTTCAACATTTGCTGCTGGATATGCTGCTGGTACAATTCAATCGATTGTAGCTGCACCTCTGGATGCACTACAAGTTCGCTTTCAAACTAGTGACATGCTGGAGGGTCAGTATCGGAGTATGTGGCATTATGGCCATCAAAAACTTAAGCAGATTGGTCTCCGAGGCGTCTTTGCAGGCTGGAGCCTTTCCTTCATGCGGGATTCACTTGGTTATGCTGTGTTCTTCTCCTCGTTTGAATACATCAAGTCACAATCCTACTACTCTTTTGTCACATGGTACTACGGGTCTCTGCAAGCTGACTGTGTGGGCAAGCTCTCATCGTCTGAGTTGAGTGACCGTGGTGTGCCACTCATCAAGCCCCACTACGCACTGGAGCCCTGTTTCCTAATGATGGCTGGCGTTGTGGCATCGATCGCTCAGCAAACTATTCAGCATCCTCTGAGTAGAATCCAAACCCTTCATCTTGGTCGACTGGAATATCTGGATCATCAGGCCAGTTTCATTCCCTCGCGACACAAAATGATACAATTATACTACCATGCCTATCAGGAGACCTTGAAAAGGTGCAAACGGAAGGCTGCACGGGCCGGGGGCTGGTGTTCCTGGCTGTTTCGCGGGTTTATTGGGAGTTCTGTCCGTCAAGTACCTAGCACTAGCGCTGGCCTTATTATTTTTGAACTGGTGCGTCGACGGTACGCAAGTCTGGCGGACGCTGTTCATATTCAGAGTGACGGGTATGACATCCTTCTCACTTAGGATGTTTTGTCCGACAAACTTTCTGTCATCCCCTCTTGTCTTCTTCTATATGTTTTTTTTTTCTTCTCCTTCTTCCCCTTCTGCTTCTTCTATTCGTTTTGGGGAGTTACGGCCATCCATAGAATCTCCTTCATTAGATCTACAACCACGTATATAGACATATGATACCCGGCTTTCGGTCAACTTTTCTTTTTCTTTTCTTGTTAACTAGCGTAGTTCTAAGGGCATCAGCATATAGAGTAATGTATATACATTGCATTTTGATGGGAGCATAACGTCCAAGCCCTCCTAGGTCAACTCTTGTGTCGGTGATCAAGTGCCAATAAACCGACATGTACGGAGCAGTACGGAGTAGTTAAGTAGATAATGATATGTACATGTAGGTATCCATCTCGTATGGAGTGCGCTGTACTAAGTAAATGTATCTACATACATCATGTGTGTATATTCGTGGATATTGGTACTCTATAACCTATGTACCTCATAGGCAGCCATAGTTATTAGAGGCTACGTACCCTATTACGAATGCAGTACGGAGTACATACGGAGTAGTATGTACTTGGATCCACTACTACAATGTGCATGTGGTCCGTACGGAGTAGATGTATCCACAATACGGAGTAGATGTGGCCCTTCCAAGTCCATAAATAGTACCATATCGCGTCAATCTATTCCACATCTGAGGAGAATCGATACACCACACGGAGTCTCCGTACGGAGTATGTATGTATGTGTACAATACGACTTGGCAATATCCCCTATTATCTATGACCTATTACCTAGGTTGTCCAGCTTTCTCTTTCCTCACCCTTTGAACATACTCCAATTTACTATTTTACTTATTTCCCCGCAAAATCTTCGATCATTTGATCAAAATCATCTGATCGCTCCACATATATTTGGTTTTCTTTGTAATGCTTTTTGGTTTGGATTTGGGTCCCTGAATTTTTGCCTAAACGCACCCCTCCCCCGGATCTCCGCCTGACCATCACATCTGGGGCCATTTTGACGGTGCCCCGTCATTCTGCGTCGCGTGTGACTTTGCGTAGACCTTGACCACATCGCCTGGGTGGCGTCACCCCATTGCGACTAGTGCACTCCAGTTGTGGCACCCATTGCGGACTCCTTGCGGAGAACCTCTCATCGATACTACTAATTTCAAGATCGACACCGCTCTCTCCCTCCCCACCCTTCTCCCCCAAGAGGGCTGCAAGGTTCAGCCCATCACCACCGCCATCATTACTCCGACCACTTCTTCCCCAAGCGCCTCTAACATACCTCTTCGCCTGCTATCTTCTGATTCTCGTCCTCTGCTACATAGGTCACTGGAGTCCGCTAGTGAGAAGGGCAGCCGGCGGTCTTCCCATTCGTCTGCTCGCTCGGTCGAGTCTGACTTCTCGATTTGGTCAGACACTGGTGACCTCGCCGAGCAGTTTGCTGAGTCGGAGGATCCGCTGCAGGTTCGTCTTCGAAAGTCCATAGACCGACAACTCCTGGGACGAAAAGGGCGCAGGAAGCAACCCAAACACGTACATTATTCTTCAGACCTGAGCACAGAGCATTCTGGTATCGATATCGAAAAGATTAGAATACCAACACCTCCTCCGCGTCATATTTCGAGGGTTGAACGAGTTTTGGCCGGCATCATGACACCCAGAAATGGGTCAAACACCCAGATCCACGGCTTGGTCGGAAAACCATTACTGTAAGTGTCCCAAATGCAAAACGAGTAACGCTGCGACTAATGCTGTTTTCTATGTAGGTACTTCACCAGCGTGTTTGTATCACTGGGTGTTTTCCTTTTTGGCTATGACCAGGGTGTAATGTCTGGCATCATAACGTTCGTCTGATCCCTCGAGCATAGACTCGCCACAGATATTGGAATTGGGATGATGCTAACAGATACAGTGGCTGGTATTTCAAAGATTACTTCAACCAACCTTCCCATGCCATAATTGGTACGGTAGTTGCAGTTCTTGAAGTCGGGGCTTTCATATCATCGCTTCTTGTGGGACGAATCGGTGATTTGATCGGCCGCCGAAGAACTATTCTGTATGGTTCTATTGTGTTTTTCATCGGTGGTGCCTTTCAAACGTTTGCAACAGGTATTCCAACGATGATGGTCGGTCGTATCGTTGCTGGTCTCGGCGTTGGTGCCCTGTCTACCATTGTGCCGGTGTACCAGTCTGAGATATCGGTATGCGATCCTCCATCTCTGTTATTCCTGGGTGCTTCTATTGTCGCTTCATCGTTCGTTGAACCTACTGACGAAATTACAAGCCTCCCCACAACCGCGGAAAGCTCGCGTGCATTGAATTCACTGGCAATATAGCTGGCTATGCGACCAGCGTGTGGGTTGACTATTTTTGTAGCTTTATCGACAATGATTACTCCTGGCGCCTTCCCCTCTTTTTCCAGTGTGTAATGGGTGCCTTGCTTGGGTTTGGCAGCCTAATGATCTGTGAATCACCGAGGCAAGTAGAAATTTCCTCACAATTGTGCCAGGCTAACTCCTACGTCACTATCTAGGTGGCTTCTTGACAACGACCATGATGAGGAGGGCATGATGGTCATCGCAAATCTTTATGGCGAAGGAGACCTCCTTAATGACAAAGCCCGTCAAGAATACCGCGAAATCAAGATGAATGTCCTTGTCCAACGGCAGGAAGGCGAGAGATCCTACTCAGACATGTTCCGCCGTTACCGAAAACGTGTCTTGATTGCCATGTCGGCCCAGGCGCTAGCACAACTCAACGGGATCAACGTAATTTCATACTATGCACCTCTCGTGTTTGAATCGGTAAGAATGCCATATGCTGCTATGACCCCGAAGACTTTTATTGCGTCACGCCATTTTTCCGTCTTCAAACGACGGTTGAGGTCCGGGCGCTTCTCGGTTTCATGCTGACCAGTCTTCAATATAGGCCGGCTGGGTTGGACGAGATGCCATCCTTATGACTGGAATCAATGGTATTTCGTACTTGCTGTCTACCATTCCACCATGGTATCTTGTGGATGGCTGGGGTCGGCGACCGATCTTGCTTTCAGGTGCTGTGGCTATGATGGTCTCGCTTTCTCTTGTCTCTTATTTTATTTATATCAAAATTCCCGCCACTCCAACCCTGACGGTCATCTTTGTTATGCTGTATAACGCAGCTTTCGGAGCATCTTGGGGCCCCATTCCTTGGTTGTACCCCCGGAAATCTTGCCCTTGAGTATTCGTGCCAAAGGTGCAAGCTTGAGCACTGCTTCGAACTGGGCATTCAATTGGCTTGTGGGCGAGGTGACCCCTGTCCTTCAAGAAGTCATCCAGTGGCGATTATACTTGGTTCATGCATTCTTCTGCGCATGCAGTTTCGTGCTTGGTAGGATATTCTCTGTCCGCCATCGGCTATACGTTAATGACCGTTGTACTAAACTATCATTCTAGTCTACTTTTTGTACCCCGAAACTAGTGGAGTTCGCCTTGAAGATATGAACATCCTTTTTGGCGATGCTTCCACTGCCATGCCCACACCTGCCACTCAAGGCGAACGGGGATCGCTGATGGGCGCTGGTTCACCAGTCCCCTCACTTGACCTTCGTCGGCAGTATGGTCAATTTGGGGCAGAGAATTCCATCCCAGGTCTGGACATTGACCCGCCAACTTCAATTCATGAAGGGGTTACCAAACGTGGACGCTCGGGCTCTCAGCAGGGCAGCATTCGAGGCGAAGGTATAGGCGGCTGGATTTCAAGCATGGTCAGCCGAAATCGGGGATCGGGCTCTGGCGTTGCCAGTAGTCAGTATAGACGTTTGGAGCAAGGGGATAGAGAAGGAGACGAGCAATGAACGGTCTGCGGATAACCCCTGGGACCTCTAACCATGCGGATGATAAAGGGAGGCAGAAAGACAAAGAACTCGATTGTATATCTCTCCTTCTTACATACCCCTATGGAGTACCAATTCCCCTCCATCTCGGTTGATTTCTTTGTTCTCAAGGTACATATCAGAACCTCTACCTACTCTACTGTGGGTGTTTTCATATTGTCGGTTCCATTCCATCCCTTTTCCTTTTTTTATCTACTATTTATTTTCATGGCATAGATATTGTGTTTTTGCCGGACGAGAATTTTCTCGATGAGATTCAATTTGGGGTGAGGGTCTTTTGTGAAGGAATATAATCATGATTGTCGTTTCAGCAATCCAGTACGGAGTACGGAGTACACTGCCGAGCTTTGGATATATATACCTGTTTTATCTTTCAATGACAGCAGAAAACCCATACCAGCTAGGTATGTGTAGATGAAAGAACGCTGAGAGATACAAGCGAAAGAAAAACAACATGAAGGGGTAAGTGCTGTTAGAACGAGGTACCTGGGTAATGGGTTGCTCAAAAAGGGGAGTTGCAAGGGCCACGTTCTGAAAACGGCTCGGGCTAAGAGTGGACTTGTTTAGCCTCTTTTGAGGCCACGGATCTCTCTTCTCCTTTCCTTTGGCCCACTCTCCCCCTCGCTCTCTTGCTTTTACTACAATTTTTTTTTTCTTTTCGTGATTCATTACGTCCGAATCCGCTGGCTTTGCTTTTCTATCACTCATTTACTCCAGAGGGGAATGGCTATGTTCTCCTAAGGCCCCCTTCTATTATCAGCCCATCCTTCCAAGTTCCTAAACGTTAACATTTTCACTACCCTCAACTCTTTCATCTGATCGATACGTTCTTCTTTTTGATTGCAATACTGTAAGGCGCACAATGGCAGTCTTAGATACTGCTGTGAGCACAGGCGCCAAACACAATTCCGATCTGCGTCGGAGAAATGTCCCTGACACCAGCAAAGTTCAAGTGGCGGACTTGACTATTATCAATGATGATAATGCAAAGAAAGCTAAACCGCAGGTGAGGATGCCCTAGACATGCACCTGTCTACTCTACTAAACCGTGTGACAGTCCCCCTCATTTCTCCATGTTCTCAGTAGCTGGGAACCGATCATTGCTCCCATCATCTTAACTGCTCTCGCTCTCTTCACCCGCCTGTACCGAATTGGTCGTTCCAACATTGTGACTTGGGATGAGGCCCACTTTGGCAAATTTGGCTCCCACTATCTCAAACGCGAGTTCTACTTCGATGTCCATCCGCCTTTGGGAAAGATGCTAGTTGGCCTGTCTGGCTACCTCGCCGGTTATAACGGATCGTTTGAATTCAAGAGTGGCGAGAAATATCCGGAGGATGTGAACTATACCTTTATGCGAGCCTTCAATGCTGCATTTGGTATAATATGCATTCCTCTTGCTTACTACACTGCGCGAGAATTGAATTTCCGGCGGGCCACAGTCTGGTTGATCAGTCTCATGGTGCTCTGTGAGAACTCCTATGCGACAATATCTCGTTTCATTCTCCTTGACTCAATGCTGCTTTGCTTCACATTTACTACCACGATGTGCTGGGCAAGGTTTCATCGGTTGCAGCATGCTAGTTTCTCTCTAGAATGGTATGTCTGGCTCTGCTTGACTGGCTTGAGCATTGGATGCGTCTGCAGTGTCAAATGGGTCGGTTTTTTCTGCACCGCTCTCGTTGGTCTGTATACTATTGATGACCTGTGGAATAAATTCGGCGACCTGAAAATGCCGCAGGTGAGCACCTGCTTTCAACCCGCTCCCTTTCCTATCTCTCTTTCTCTCAGATTGATCACCGATTAGTTAGCTAACAGGAACATGTCCGGACAGACTGTGCTTGCAAAACACTTAGCTGCTCGCGTTGTTGGATTGATCATTATCCCAGTCCTGGTTTACATGTTTTCGTTTTATCTGCATTTCCTGGTGCTGGCTAATAGTGGCCCTGGTGATGCCCAGATGAGTTCCCTTTTCCAAGCAAACCTGCGAGGCACAGAGGTTGGCAGAGATAGCCCTCTTGAGCTTGCAATTGGGTCGCGTATCACCCTTAAAAACATGGGCTACGGTGGGGGCCTTCTGCATTCCCATGTTCAGACTTTCCCGGAGGGATCCGGGCAGCAGCAGGTCACTTGCTACCACCACAAAGATGCTAACAACGACTGGTTCATCTACCCCAACCGACAAGAGCCCGACTACAATGCCACTGCTGATCTACGATTTGTTGGCGATGGCGATGTCATTCGGTTGATTCATGGACAAACTGGTCGCAACCTGCATTCGCACGCCATCGCAGCACCAATTACTAAATCACACTACGAAGTATCTTCCTACGGAAACATCACCATTGGAGATGATAAAGACCACTGGAAAGTGGAGGTGATCGATGATGCTGCGTCCCGGGACCGGTCTAGGATTCGGACACTCACAACAGCATTCCGGCTCCGTCATCCAGTTCTAGGCTGTTATCTTCGGGCAGGAAATGTCAATCTCCCTCAATGGGGCTTCAAGCAGATCGAAACGACATGCACCAAAGAGAACAAGCCCCGCGATGTATACACACACTGGAATGTCGAGTCTCATACTAATGATCGCTGTGAGATTATCCGTATTTTCTCTGTTGATGCCTCTGACCAGATTTACTAACACATGGTTAGTGCCCCCTGGTGACCCTGGCTCCTATAAATCGCCTTTTTTCAAAGATTTCATCCACCTGAACGTGGCCATGATGACCTCTAACAATGCTCTTGTTCCGGATCCCGATAAGCAAGATGACTTGGCTTCTAAGTTCTGGCAGTGGCCAATTCTCAATGTCGGGTTGCGCATGTGTTCTTGGGATGACAGCGTTGTCAAATATTATCTCCTTGGAAATCCTCTGGTTTATTGGGGAAGCACTGCGAGCCTTGGTGGATTTGGTCTTCTATTCCTCTGGTATCTTCTACGCTGGCAGAGAGGATACAAGGATCTTAGCAACGAGGACATTAGTCACATCCACTATTCTGGATTGTATCCGGTTATTGGTTGGGTTTTGCATTACCTTCCTTTCATCATCATGGCCCGGGTCACTTACGTCCATCACTACTACCCGGCTCTTTACTACGCCATCTTGAACTTCGGCTTCTGCATTGACTGGGTAACGCGCAAAATGAACCACCGATTGTCTGCGGCACTATATGCCTTGCTCTACGTGGCAACCGTCGGATTGTTCATTCACTTCCGAGCGATTGTGTTCGGAATGGAGGGTTCCAACCAGCAGTGGACTTACCTACGCTGGCTGCCGGGATGGATGATTGCGAATGCAAACTAATTGGAGAACGTCTGGCGGCATGACGTTGTGCTCTTTGCTTTTTAACCCGTGTCGATTTCTACAATCTCTCAACCTTGGTATCGAACTCTACTCGTCCGGATGAGTACTTGTATCAGCACAGCTAAATTTCCTTCACTTACTGTCTCCACTCACGTGTTGTTTGTAACCAAAAAGAATTCAGAGGTTCAGAGTTGCTGGAGATAGTCAACTGCACCTTTTCGCAGTGATAACTGTTAATCGAACGTGAGGATGTGGTGGTAGTGTACGTTGATTATTATTATTATGAACTGCCCATGTGGGCTTAGCAACACCCTCCAGCCCAACCATTGCCACCCTTGCGCATTGCATCATCCATCCCTAACGTAACGGTTCTAGGTACCCCCGCATTTGCTCCTCCTGATGCACCAAACCCTTTCACACCGCTTCGCCGATCATTGAGGTCATATTTTCCCGTTTCAATGTTACGATAAATTCTTTCAGCAACTTCCAGGAACGCTCTTTCAACCCCATCTCCAGATTTGGCGCTCGTTTCAACATAGCGGACCACGTTGTTCATGCGACACCATTCCTCGGCCTCCCCCCGGGTGACTTGCCTTTGATTTGATCCAGAACTGACCCCCGTCAGATCAGTCTTATTACCGACCAAAATGACAACAATGCCGTCTTCTGCAATTTGCCGTAGATCATTCAGCCACTGAGTACACGATGTAAACGTCGAACGCCTGGATATATCAAATACCAGGAGAGCCCCAGAAGCACCCCGAAAGTATGAGCGCGTGATAGACTTGTAAGTTTCCTGTCCAGCCGTGTCCCATAGAGAGAGTTTCATGCGCTTTTGACTAGGGGAACCTTGAGGCTTTCGTGGAGGGGTAGGAAGGCCCGAGGTGGTAGATGCTTCTGGTGATGTCTCACCCGCTGAGTTGGGAGAAGGCTTATTGAGTTCGAGCTCTAGAGAAGCTGGGGGACCAACTGGCACAATCCGTGATCCAAACTCAACCCCGATGGTCACATCGTGAGATGGGGAAAAGCGACCTTCACAAAGCCGGACGGTGAGCTGGTGTTTGGTTAGCGGAGCTACAGTGTGAAAGACAGACATCACTTACACTGGACTTGCCGGTGCCAGAGTCGCCAATGCAGACAAGCTTAGCAATATAATCCCATGGCTGTGACATGGAGAGAGTAGAGAAATCTAGAATCAGAGATGGGAAAGTAAGCAGAGATGGTCCTGAGGTCAGTTTACTTCGAGCCATCGGGTATCCCGACCTGTTATCAGCTGAGTCATCTATCAGGCCTGACGTGCCCGTATGACGCTTCCATCAGCTGTGTGACCTTCACTTCATATCCTAAGAGGTTGTTTTTCAACCTTTCTCTCTCTACCCTACCTATCTCTTTTAGATTTGGCATATCACAAAAGAAAAAAAAAATTTAACCCTTGTGTTCTCTTTCCTTCTCTCTCCCCCTTCCTTCCCCGTCTAATGAGTACCGATCATACTTGATTTCCCAGCATCTTCCCTTGGTTTATCACTGGTCCCGTCAACTCACCGTATTTTCTTTGTTGCAACCTCAAGCCATGTTCTCCGAATGTAGGCGCTAAAAGGCTTCAGGTACCAGAACATGTTGCTAATATTTCTACTTAGATGCTTCACGTTTTCTTGCTCAGTCACAGTCACGAGTGACCTCTCGACCAGATGAAGTGCAAAGAACGGGCCGTAGCCGGCCTAATCAACACCAAGGCAACCTTCGGCATCCCTCGTCGCGTTCGTTTCTGCGACCTAACGATCCTTATCGATCGGGGACATCTCAACTATCCCACTTTCCTTTCGCGCCTCGGGGCTCGGTTCAACAAGCTCCCCTCTTCTTCAGTGTCACCGATGAATTCCGAGAGGAAGATGATGAAACGGAACGTGAGCGAGAAATTGCTGATTTCTATGCACTTCAACGATCACGGCGGCATTTCGGCGATAGCAACTTGAAAGAATCCTCGGAACTTGAGGATTCTGAACAATCAGTATTTGACGAGGATAGCTCACCATACGATGGTCGGCCTGGTAATGGAAAAGGCATCAAAAGCTCATGGCGGGAAGAAAAGAGTGTGGGGACCGCTCGCCCTTTTCCTATCGAGTCAGTAGCAGAAGCCACCGAGCATGAACTGGCTTCTACTAGTCCTAGTAATAGCAAAGTTCGAGGTCACCTAGTTGATGTCGGCCTGGAAGACTCTATACGAGCGGGCATTAACAATCATGATCAAGCGTTACCCAGTCCCGATGTCTACGACCCACCCATCCAGCGATTCCGAGAACGGGATCCGCCAAACGAGCTCTCTGGGGCCAACCTACCAGGGACTGCCCCAGAGCCGGCTGCACCCTTATCGGGCAATCCTCCACGGCCACCCAGCTCGGCAGGCTCGTTTCCAGCATCGGTATCACCGCTTGCCTCAGAAAATGCAGCCCATGATGTATTCTGGGGCCAATTGTTCTTGATATCCCTCGCGGGATTGTTTGCTTCTGCATTTCTCGTCTATCTTCACACATCTACCCCCTCTGGAGACAAATCAAGGTGGGGCGATACGATATATATGACTGTTCATGGGTCTTTCTTCCTTCTCGGGATATATACCCTTGTATCAGTTCTTGTGTCTCTCCTCTGGTTGGCCTTACTACGCTCCTATGTGCGACTTTTGGTCCACATAATCCTAGTTGCCGTTCCCATTATTTTATACTCCTTTTCCTTGTATCCTTTCATCTCGAGCTTCAAGGGACCATGGCACGGGTCCAGTATTCAAGACAAGGCAATGAGATGGGGTTCTGGCGTTCCGTTTCTCATGGCCACCGTGTGGATCTATAATGTTTTGCGCGGTCGTCAATCCATCGGGAAAGCCATAGGGATTCTTGAATTTGCCTGTCGCATATTAGCCGCCAATCCCGAGTTGCTTGCTCTTGGTCTGGGTGCCTTGGTCTGTGTGGTTTCATGGACGTGGATCTGGATGCTGATGTTTACCCGTGTCTTTTTGGGCGGTCATATCGTCAACTCGAGATCGTTTATCATTGATGTGGGCAGCTGGTGGCTTGGTATCTACTTCGTTATTGTTTATTTATGGTCGATCGGCGTCATTGCAGGCATCCAGCGCGCCGTCACAGCTGCAACCGTGAGTCAGTGGTATTTTCACCGTTTGGTCACACCCGCACCCACCTCGAAGCAAATCGTCCAGGCAGCCGTCCTACATGCTGCCACGACCCTATTTGGCACGATTTCTTTGTCTAGACTCCTGGGGCTTCTGATTCGACTTCCTCTTCTCTTACTACCAGGTCGCATCTCTTCGTTGCTCAGTCTGTTTGCCTATTCGCTCGTCCCTACCCCTATCACCCACTTGACCAATCCTCTCTCTCTCACCTATGCAGCGATTCATTCGCAGCCTCTTGCCGCTTCCTCTCGAGGATTGAGCCAAATGACTACGCTTACCCCATCGGCGGCCTCAACATCTTTACACCCACGTTCATATTCTCGATCGCCTGGGGACTCGGGCTCTCTTCTCTCATATCGGCTATCTAAACTGATTCTCTACGCCACCCGTCTCATGATGTCGTTAGCCCTAGGGTTTGGTGGCTGGGTGACTACTGCTCGGAGCCTAGCCACCTCTGCAACCGGTGGCACCGTACGTGGTAGTCTCTATGCCTACGTGGTTGGTCTTATTGCTGGAGCAATCGGCTGGACCACATTGGGCTCGATGGAAGGTATTATCGCTGATATTGTGGATGCGGCTGTGATCTGCTGGGCAAGCGAAGTCGGTATCTACGGTAGAGAAGCCCGGTATTGCCGCGAGGCTGGCTGGCTCTTTGGTGACTCCAAGTCCCAGTTCAGGCATGAATATCAAGAGGTCTAGGTAATTTTTCATCCTTTCATGGTTATGACATATGCATGATTTCTCTGCCCACGATTGAGCGCTTATAATGTCTCGTACTATGGTTTCAGTGGAATGTTTTTGACACGGTTGTAGATTTTGGGGGTTTTTTTGGAAGACTTGAATTGAAGTCCAGCAAATGCACTTTGCATCTACGTTTACATCTCAGTTGCGCACATATAATGTCAGAGTAGTTCCATCTTTTGAGAAAAGGATGTTTTCATCTGCGTGTCCCGTGGTATATTCGAATCTTGCAAATAGCTACATGAAGATCCAGGGCTCGTGGTATCATGAGGAAAAGATAAAAATGGAGATAAAACACAAAGATGTGTGCGAAGAGAACAAGACACTCCGAGTCCCGCAGGACAAGAAGAGACAAAAATGATGTGAGGCATTGATCAAAGACCAAGTCGCCCGTTCCACTCCACTCGTTCTTTCGAGCACCACTCTTTCAGGAGGGACCAGCCGAACCGAACCACTTCGATAGGCGGGGTAGTACCACCAAGCGGTAGGAAATAGCTTCCAGCGTAGTCACCAGCCTTGAGAACGGTTTGGCCTCGCTCGGAGTAATTCCGGGATCTCTGAGACCAGATTTTGGGAAACTCACGGCCAAGGAAGTCTTCAGAGAGACCCCGGGTGCCCTCTAGCCACAGTCGTTGAGAATCCTTATAGGACTCGGGAAGTCGGGTCTTTAAATCTGAGAACTCCTTCCTACTTTTCTTGTTTTCATCTGATAGGCCTGCGTTGCTATCGCTCCCAGGCGTGGGAACTGGGGGGTATTCTCCAGGGATTGGGGTTATGGCAAGGCGTTCAAGATCGAGAGTGTGAATGGCAGTAAAGGAGATGGCCCCGAGGAGCAGGCAAAGGCTGTTCAGTGCCGGATACGGTAAACTGTTCTTCTTGACCACACGCCAGTATGGCACAATCGACAGCCATGTTGAAGAATCCCCAATCTGGCGCGATGAAGCCTTGGCCTGGTCGTTCGCCACAAAAGCCATAATAAATGAAAGCAATGCCTCGATGGCAGTCACAACGGCCAGCTTTTCATCAGTAGCCGAAGTTCCATTCCTGGAGGTATGGCGCTCTGCGGCATGTTTCAGTTCACGACCGATGTTCGCGAATCTTTGCCACTCATCCCACCACGCCTGCCGTTCGTTGCGCGTGCGGCCATCTGCCTGCGTCGGAGAAGCTTTCGTGGCCGGCCCAGGCTCAACGGAATGACGTTTATTAGCGAGATGAGGAGTTTTGCCATCGGTCACTCCAAGATCGCTCCGACGAGCTGACAGAGGTTTCAAGTCCTTCACGGGTGTGATGGAAGTCGCTTTGGTTTTTTCATGTGCAATTGAATGGGATGTCACGTTTAGTTGAGCTACAGGCGTTCGAGGTTTTTCGGGAAATCCTTTTGGCTCTTTGAACCGATCACCTTGAAAATCAAGGGCTTCATTGCTTTCATGCTTCTTGCCTTTCGAATCCCCAGATGAAGCGTTCCCGCGGGATGAAACAGGATCCCCTCCTTTCTTTTTGGTATGGGAAACATCACCTCGATCTGTATCCTGGCTGGCCGGTGAATCTGACCGATGTGCTTTTCTTTTACCGGAAAATTTAAGTAGAGCCTCGACGCGCTTTCGGTTTGCTCTCCCATAACGCAGTTTGGCGATTAGTTGCATGCTTTGCTGGCTGGCCCGGATCTGGTCTCCTGTATGTTCATGGGAATTAGAATCTCTCGCAGGCAACGCCTTTTCAGCTCGACTACTACGAGATGGCGAGCAGTTCTCAAGACGGGCCAGTTCCCTTTCAATGTCTGGTGGGAGGGTAGGAGACAGTAAGCGTGGAAGTCTAGGTCCACTCGAAGTTGGTGGGAGGGTGGGCGACAGAAGTGCAGGTAGCTTAGGGGAATGCAATTTTGAAGGGCTGGACTCTCGCCGAGTTTCTTTCTCAGGAGACAATCGCGGTCTTTTGGTCGGGTATACTTCAGGCTTCTTGGTTCCTAAAGAGTTGGGCAATTCAAGTTCCGATCCAGATGACCGTTTCTGGCCCGCTCTTTCGGGAGAGAGACGTGGGTGCGGTTTTGACGGCATCCGAAGCATTTTAGACTTGTCGCTGTTCTTGGATGGGCCCAAAAACATGGACTGTCCTCTTTCCTCGGAACTTATAGCGCTTGATGCACCTCGGATACTCGCTTCGCGGCCCATGGGGGATGCAGCAGCGCCACTTGTCTTTTGAGACTTGTAGTCCTTGAGACTGATCTTCTTTTTAGTCACAGGTTCTCTTTGACTTTCTCCAGCGCTTGGAGCCGTCGGTCGATCGACCATCATGCGGCCCGTCTCGTCCGACCAATCCCCAACAGCTAGAAGCAACGAATCTGTGTCGTGGTGTGTCAAGAAGGTCATGTACTGTAGTTGCTGCTCCTCCAAACCGAACGGCCTATCATGTCCCACGGCCCAATTGTTGACGGATCGGTTCCCCAGATTGAAAGGCGTTTTGGTTGGAAATGTGAGCAGATAAGGAACAGGGGGGAGGACTTCGTCGGAGAGGCGCTGCAATCGTTGGTCAAGCGCTTCACGGTCCGACGTGGAGGAACTCGCAGCTGGAGGGTTTGTAGTGATGTGGGAATAGCGTTTCTCGTTCACCGACATCGCAGTTTGCTGGAGTCACGACACAATCTTCCACCAAAGATGCCAGTATCACACGCGCTTCCCTCAAAGACCAGGCCGAAGGGTGTCGCCAAGGCCAGTTTCTCTGGTCGCTATAGTGGACTGCGCGTAACATTCAAAGCATTGAGGATAAGTCGAGAGATACCGATGTACAGGATCCGGCCTTGTTCAGAAGCCGAATAATCAGGGCATCCTATCACTGTCGCGCGTGGGGGAGGTATGATCCCATAACCCTGAGATTCCGAAGCCACGCAATTAGGAGTTGAGAATAGCGAGCCTTGTAGCAGGAGCAAAAAAAATACAGGTGATTTCACAGTGAGAGAATGACCTTTTTGCATAAAGGAGCGAGAGATGGGAAATGTCCCCGAACAGCATGAAAGAGACAGCTGAATTGGAGAAGGTTACGTTAGGTCTGTTACGGTGCCTGTTGCTTATCGGCTTATCGTTACCACGTATGTAATTTCATGACGGATACATACAAGCCCTGACGTACCCAAGTCGGTATTTATATAAGTAGATAGGTATCCTGATCCTTCGAGGGAATCGTCCATACTATTTTCCGAACACATACATACATAATGTAGGTAGGAGCAAACATCCATGGATCTCTTGCTCTGGACGGATTCCTTGGCGCCTCAAACACCTAGGAACGATCGTCCTCGGCAAACTTTTCACGCCAAAATGCACGATAATGTTTCTGCTTCCCGATATTGGAGATCTCGTCGATCTCTGGAGGTGTCAGGTTGAATGTAAATACGCGCAAATAGTTGCTTAAACGGGATTCTTTGCCACTGGTGGTGATGGCCACACAGCCACGGTCGATAATCCAGCGAAGCAGCACCTCAGACTGGCTGACTGCATATTTGGTGGCCAAGGAAGAAAGCAACGGGTCCAATGGCCCGCCTTGCGCCCGAGTGGCAGGAGTGAGCCCCCCATAACTAACGGTTTTGATACCTTTGCTCTCTTGGTAGGGGACAAGATCTCCATGTTGAAGGTAAGGGTGAAACTCAATCTGATTGACGGATGGCACAACTTTAGCGGTCTTGAGAATGATTTCCAAGTCTTTTTGTAGGAAATTTGACACCCCAATAGACCGTGCTTTCCCAGATGCCTTAACTTGCTCCATAGTAGCCCAGGCAGCTTGAAGTTCTTCCTCCGTCTTTGCAAAATATGGAGCATGGATCAGATATCTGCGCTAGTAGTCAGAATGTATTCTCGGGCGAGCTATCGGCCACATCGCATTGGGAGTTCACTTACAGGTCTACAAAATCAAGCCGAAGCTTTTCGAGACTGGTATCAATGGCCTGGGTGATGTCGGCGATATTGGTGATGACCTTAGTCGTCACAATAAGTTCTTCGCGAGGCACTCTGCTCTCTTCAATCGCTTGTCCCAGTTCCTCCTCAGTCCGGTAGACTTCAGCTCCATCGAGATGGTGATACCCTAGCTTCGTTGCGGTCTTAATGGATTCAACCAACTCAAGGTTCACACTGCTATCCTCCGAACGCTTATACCATACGGTTCCGGTGCCATATCCAAGCTATATATGTCAGAGAAGATTTGATCCATCTATAGATATCGATAGGTGTATGAGAAATCCTGAGGAGTGACTCACGATAGGAACCGAGGTACCGTCGTTGAGATTCAATGTTGGGATAGATGAAACGGTGCTTGCCATGATCAGGTTGCCAATGAGATAATTATGAGGTGTGTTAGTGTTGGAGAAAATGTACTCACAAGCTTCCATTGGGGTTATTTTATGGAATCCTGCAACCTTGGCAGCCCTCCCCCGCCCCTGGAGCCCCGATGCGATTAATAATGTTCCATTATGTCATTTCTGATTCAGCGTCGCGTCGGGACCACTCAAATAGCTCTACTTCATTCCGAGGCCAGAACATTCATCTTTGACCTGGACTTATCTCTATGAACTTTCGTGTGCTTGCGTGTTCCAGAAATCGGTATATGTTTCCACGGCCCAAGCTTCGGCCGTCGGTTCGGATTCGTTTAAACCAAATGGCATCGCATCTTTCCACTGCTGGGATCTCCCTGGCTGAGCTGCCGAAATCAAATGTGTTCACATCTAAACTGCCCGCTGATCCAGCTTTTGATACACCAGAATCATCGCATGAGGCGCCACGGGAAACCTTAGGACCTCGGATGGTCAAAGGGGCTCTGTTCACTTATGTACGCCCGGAGCGGACTGATGAACCGGAGTTGCTGAGCGTCAGTGCGAAGGCGCTGGCAGACCTGGGATTAAAGCCAGGCGAAGAGCAAACACCGCAATTCCAGGCTTTAGTTGCCGGGAACAAGATTTGGTGGAACGAGGAACAGGGCGGTATCTACCCATGGGCTCAGTGTTATGGAGGTCAGCAGCAGTATGGTCATGCACGAGGAATCTAAACTAATCTATACAGGCTGGCAATTGTAAGCCATCGAAGGAGCTCAAGATACATTGTTCCAAGCTGACAATATGCAGCGGTTCGTGGGCTGGACAACTTGGAGACGGGGTAAGGTGATGTACAGATGAGGCCTCGCCTTGGTAGAAATACTAATTACGGACAAATCAGCGTGCGATTAGTCTCTTTGAATGCACTAACCCAGAGACAAACAAGCGATATGAGCTGCAGTTGAAAGGAGCAGGGAAAACACCTTATTCACGTTTCGCAGACGGTAAAGCTGTGCTCCGGTCAAGTATCCGTGAATATGTGGTCTCAGAAGGTACATCTGCTCGAAAATCGAGAGAAGATAATTTTTGCTGAAACCTTTCCAGCTCTCTCCGCTCTTGGTATACCAACCACTCGGGCACTCTCCCTCACCTCAGTCCCCAATGCTAAGGTATTGCGAGAGCGTCTTGAGCCGGGAGCAATTGTTGCTAGGTTTGCTGAGACTTGGTTAAGAATTGGCACATTTGATCTCCTTCGCGTTCGCGGAGATCGTGAACTGACCAGAAAGCTTGCGACATATGTCGCAGAAGACGTTTTTGGTGGGTGGGAGTCTCTTCCTTCCATTATATCTCTGGGTGACCAAAAGTCCTCTGCACAAGTTGATAATCCTCAAAGGGACATCCCTGGGAACGAGGTTCAAGAACACCAAGATGTACAGGAGAATCGATTTGCGAGACTATACCGAGAAATTGCTCGTCGCAACGCGAAGACAGTTGCCGCGTGGCAAAGCTATGGTTTCATGAACGGTGTGCTTAACTCCGACAACACGTCAATCTATGGTCTGTCGTTAGACTTCGGCCCGTTTGCGTTTATGGATAATTTTGATCCGCAGTACACCCCGAACCACGATGATCATATGCTGCGATATTCTTATCGCAACCAGCCCAGCATCATATGGTGGAATTTGGTTCGGCTTGGAGAATCTTTGGGAGAGCTGATCGGGGCAGGAAATCGTGTTGACGACGAAAATTTCGTGAACGATGGAGTGACGGAGGAATTTGAACCGGAACTCATTCAACGTGCGGAGAAGATCATCGACCGTGTGGGCGAGGAATATAAAGAGGTATTCCTCAACGAATACAAGCGATTGATGAGCAAGAGGCTAGGACTCAAAACACAGGTCGATTCAGACTTCCAAAGTCTCTTTTCAGAGATGTTGGACACCCTTGAAGCACTTGAACTGGATTTCAATCACTTCTTCCGCCGGCTTTCGGGACTCCCGATATCGAAGTTGGAGACCATCGAGTCCCGAAAGGAAGCAGCCTCGGTGTTCTTCCACGCTGAAGGCTTCGGTGGAATTGGGTACACCGATGCTTCAGCCAGAGATCGGATTGCAAACTGGCTTGATAGCTGGCGGGCTCGCATTCTAGAGGATTGGGGTCCCGCAAATGACCGGGAAAGACAAATATCCATGAAATCCGTCAACCCAAACGTAGGTCTTTGTTGGATTTGCTTGTTAGGAGCCCATTTTAAATTTACTAATGATGGCTCAGTTTGTGCCTCGAGGGTGGATTCTTGATGAAGTCATTGAGCGTGTTGAGCGCAAGGGCGACCGAGATATTCTGGGCCGGATCATGCAAATGTCTCTGGACCCGTTCAAAGATGAATGGGGTCTGGACAAGGACGAAGAAGAGCGTTTCTGCGGAGATGTCCCCAAGTATAAGAGGGCTATGATGTGCAGTTGCAGCTCATAATCAAGCCACCCTTGGACGTGTGCTATATGGATGACATTGTGGTACACTCTTTATAGAATGTGTCGGGAATTGACGATTGCATCCATCGAATACAGCCTGTCGACCATGCTAATCTGCACAAGCCCAGAGGGTTCAAACGGGCAAATACTACGGAGTAAGTATTTGCAAAGTTTCCTACTTCAAATTGTGTACGCGTTATCATAAAACTCGGGGGATGATCCAATAACCCGAGATAGGTAGGTAGGCAGCATCAAAAGCTAGATCATGTCGACCTTGTCAGGCGTTGATCTCTAATCATACATTTTCAGGACAAAAAAAGAGAAATTCGTTTCGTGCATGCATGAAAAATGACATCCAACCCCATGGGAACTGCAGAAAGATGTTGACCAAAAGAGCAATGCAATTGATGGGACACCTTAGTTGGGGCAGGCAGACTGAACGTGGCCAGGCTGCTTGCACTTGTAGCACATGCGCTCACCCTTGGCCTCAGTAGGGCAGTCGCGAGAGACATGGCCGACCTCGCCGCCTAATGATGAGTTAGCAGCACGTTCCAATGAATATATCGAGTACCCGAGATACTAACAGTTGTAGCACTTCTGGCCCTGGGTACAATCACGGGCCATGTGGCCGAAGCCACCGCAGGAGTAGCAGGTCTGTTGACGACCGCCGGCACCACCGGGACCACCAAAGCCACCGCCGTAGCCACCACCGTAGCCACCACCGTAGTTACCACCCTGGGAGCAGTTGCGCGCGATGTGGCCAACTTGTCCGCACTTGTAGCACTCTTGGGAACCACCGCTGTAGTTGCTGTCGCCGCCTTGGGGGCATTCGCGGGAAAGATGTCCGGTCTGGCCACATCGATAGCACGATTTCTCCTTGGCGGGCTCCTGGCATTCGCGGCCTTTCGAAATATTAGTCAAGTCACAAATTTTGCGATGATCAACTTCGACCTACTCAAGTGACCCTGGCCTATCATCGTAATTGATCTGATTAGCAACAGTCCAACAACCAGTCCAGATGTCTAATCATGAACACTTTTGGAGATCAGCATACCACCACAGTTATAGCTATTGAAAGAGTGGATCAGCATTTGAAACAACAATTCAGAGAAGGTTGAGAATGATTTACCAGGTAGGGTTTCCCTTCTTGGGGCAATCCTTAGCCTAGAAAAAGCAAATAAGCTTCATATCTTGGAGAATTTGGGTTGATATTCAACGGCGCAAGAAATCCACGGAGATGTGGAACTTCAAGGCAAGGATGTAATTACCTGGTGAGAGGCCTCGCCGCCTGTGAGGAAAAAAAGTTAGAGAGGAAAAAAGAGAGAAAAAACCTCCTCCAAGTATCCAACGAGAGAAAAACAGGGGTAGAAAGGATCATGCATCTCAATCGCACATTATGTGCAATCAAGTCTATATTCATTCCAGTGCCATAAGCTTGTAAGGAAGTGAATATGACGTATTTCCAGGATCCTTTCTTTCCTATACAAATTGACCAATGCTTGCGAGTCCAGAAGTGTAATGAGACTTACAGTTGAAGCAGCCACCACGTCCAGCAGGAGGGAAATCCATGATGAAGAATAGAGGGGGGAAGGGGGAGTTGTTTTTCTAAAAAAAAGAAAAGAAAGAGAGTAAAGATGAAGAAGAGAAGAGTCTGACTGAAAAATAATATTGTAGTGCGGGGGAGAAATCTTCCCGCAAAGCTGACCGCCCTAGAGAGAGGGTGTCTTCGTTTTCCTTTCTGAAGAGGGAGCGAGTGGTTTTTTTCCCCCTTCCTTTTTCGCTTCTGCTTTCTTTGTTCTTCTCGTTCTCAGCTATGCTCGATCACTACCGGTGGATCCGTTATAGTATGAGTCGGAACCCATCATGACTCAGAGCATGCGATCGCATGTTTTTTTTTGGATCTTTCAAGTTCTCCATGTTGCTACATACAGGCCAGGCCTACATGTAGGTGTTGGGGGATAGGAGGGTTGAGTCCTTTGAAGAATCCGGGTGAAGTTCCCTCAAAAGGACTGAAGAGATGGAAGTGAAATAAGACAACACAAAGGACCATCGCCACTTTTATAGAATCCCTGTTCGGCCAGGGTCCCCAGTCCAAGTGGGTTGAGTACCTTGTGCTACCCCTCGACCACCGACCTCGGCGCTAAATCCTATGTCACAGGCCTTGCGCTATGATGGGCCTTAGTTTTGGTGTTTGGCTGGGAAAGAAAAGAATTGGCATACCTCATTTGTCATGCCCTTGAGTCGGAATCTTAGGTGAAGTCGTAACACTCAAGTAACTGCATGCCCCCGATTTTTTCTCGAAGGAGAAGTACGCGTTCGTCGTCAAACCCGATGTATCCTGGCATTCGAGACATTTCTTGTCGGATGCTGGGATTACAGCAGATCGTATCCGGCACAAGCCCCTGGTCCAACTCCCCAGCCTGCTTATTTCCGGGGTTGAGCTGAACACTGTTCTCGTCTTTCAGAGTTTTGCGGTTGCCTAAAGAAGATAGTGCCATCTCTAGCTCCCAAATTCGAATCTCATCTCCTCGGGAGCTTACCGAGACAGCTTTCCCACGATTAGTCACTTGAACAGCAGATACGGAAGAGGTATGGCCCCAAAGCCGCTTTCCAGCTTGGACGAATAAACTCTCGGTGGTAGATACCACAAGGTACATCGACAGCGTGTTATCGGCATGTGAGGTTAGCAAATATGGATGGGAGTAGGACATGGAGGTTGGCGGCTTCTGGTGTAAAATCGATGGTGCCCCGAGGGCAATAGGGGATTCTAGATCGTCAACTGACTCAGCTGCGAAAGATCGCCTCTTTCCAAATTGCAATGGTCTCAAGCCATGTTGGGCATCCACTGTCGTAGCCAACCGCGAATCAAGTTGTTGGCCATCTGTTCCTAGACGTAATTCTTGAATTCCCAAAGACCACCCACAGCCAATGTGGAAGAAGCTATACACAATAGTAGCAACGATGCCAAAGGGCGAAACTCTGAGGGACAGCGTCATGGGTGGAACGATATTATCTGCTTTGAGAGATGCAAGCTGACGGGGCTTAGGCTTAGAGGTATCGGCGGCTCTCAAAACCTGGTGACTGTCACATCGCAGATTGTATAATGTCAAAGCTTTGTGCTGAGATACTACCATTAGGTACGGCGATGAAAGAGTCATTGCTGTTATGGCAGCATCAGAGGAGCCGACATGAGAGGACTGCAATTCTAGCTCCGATGTTCGAAGATTCAAGACGAAGAGACTGAAGTGGCCATTTTCCAGTCCAACTGAGATCTCAATCTTGTCTTGGATATGGCTCACTGCCAGAGCGGTTGGGGCCACATCTGGTGACAAAACGACACTTGCTAGACAACGCGCCGAGTCCCTTGTGGCCCAAGCACGGAGCCCGTAGTCCGAGTCCACCGTGAAGACAACCCCAGCACAGAACTTGACTAGCGTAGGAGGGCATGGCGGTTGCAGGAACTCAATCTCAGTCAACCGACATAAACCTTTGGACCAATTATGCCGGAGTCGGTACTGCCGTTTCCAATTGCCCTCCTGTAACAGGTGCTCATGATCAAACCACGTTGCAACCTTAGGTGAATAATCTGCCTTGACTGGAATAGTTTTGCGTCTGGAGTTTGCAAGCCGGCGAGCACGAGGTCGTACCCATTGCGAGTAATATTGCCTTTTCCATAGCTCGGAGTCTCCACCAAGGGCATGGAAACGATGGGACAACCTGTTTATGACAGTAAGTCAGCGAAACTGTGAAGAGCATATGATACCAAAGACAAGAGATTCAGTGTACCTTTGACACACGTTTAAAGATGGGACTGGTAGAAATGAGAGGATATGGAGGAGTAGCTCATTGCTTAAACGAGATAGACGATCAACAGGCCCAACATTGGTTCGAGTACATAGACGCTTTTGCCGTACATTAGGGTCATAATTGTCTCTGTCTCGTTTTGACATTATGTCTCAAGCTAAGGGTACACAAGGGGCTTATCAAAGTTGATCAGAGAGCTCATTGTGGACGCCCGGAGTGACACTGAGCAAAAGTGGAGGGTCACTGGAGGTGGAGTTGACTGTGGGAGATCCTTATCACAGATAAGCTCACGTGTGCTAATTTGGTTTTGACGCGTCTTCGCGTTAAGGTTGTGTCTCTCCACGGGACGTCGACGGCTTTGAAATCACTCCAACCTTTGTCTCATAACCCGACTCATCACTCAATAGTAAAGCAGAGAATCCACTCCGTACAATGGAAGTTATCAAAGAGCTCCAGGCTGCCATGGCAACTGCTTATGAGGTCTCCTTCGAGAATGCCTACAAGCACATGAAACTACATATTGATGCGCTTGTCAAAGAGGCAGAAATTAAAGAGTCATTGTCTCTCCAAAAGGATATCAAAATCCAGCAGCTTCAGCATGATATCGCCGTACTCCAGAGTGAGCTACAACAGTATGAGGTTAATCCACGGGATCTTGAACTTCCCCGGAGATACGCCAATCTGGAGACTGATTTCGATCCGAAAAGCCTATGGGCGAATATCCTGGAAGATGATCATCCCCAAATCCAGAACTACCAGAAACGAGTCGAGGCCAAATACACTGCGCTCTATACAAATTTACAGACATTCATCCAAACTTGGGCCGGTCTCAAATCCCGGGTGTTGCAGCATAAAAAAAAGCTACGACGATGGGATCAGCAACTAGAGCGCGAAGAATTTTCACTCGTTCTCAATGGTCAACCAGTCAAATTTCGCAGAGTGCTAAGTTCCACTTCTGAGCATGTTGACAAACAACACTCGCAGGCCACCCATAGCTCCTCCAGGAAGCGTCCAAGAGAGGAGTGCCCAGATTTCCCAGTCATGAATGTCAGACCATCACCCAAGAGGACCAGTGCAGATGAGGTGAACGCAGCCGTGAAAGCTGAAGATGATAAGCGAAGAACAGCACATATCCTAACACCAGAGCCAGCACTTATTCAGTCTACGTCCCCTCTATCTGGTTCAGAACCCTCCGATTCTTCCGGGATAAATGTCATTCTGCCTGATGTCCACCCGCAGCCGACGAGCCAGAGGCTTTCACCGAAAGTTTCCGGTAGGAATACTGTCGCCAGCCAGCAGGCAGACATGGGCTCAAAGTGCTTTGCGGTTGTCAAAAATGAGATGTTATCATCAAGTCCAATTCAACATCTTGTGGGCCACAGTGAGCGGCCATTTGAGAGCACACAAGATCTCGACGAGATAGGTGACACAATACGAACACCCATGAAACCAAAACCCCGCCGAGATGTCTATTTTGCGAACACTTGGGATTCGGAGAAAACTACAAATGATGTACATCACTCAAAGGGCGTTCCACCAGGCCAGCAAATATCCCAACAATCAACCATACTCCAACCAGCTAACGACAATACACGCCTAGCCAAATTCTCCACGCCAGTGTCTTGCTCGAAAAGCCTCGGAGATTTGGAGCGACGTGGTATACCAGCCCTGGCCGAAGACGGTGATGATGCGACATACTCACAATTGTCTGAAAGAATTAGCTCCAATATCAATTCTCGACCGCCGAACGCCAACTTCAAGTGTGAGATCGCACAGAAGCGTCTAGAAAATCTTCTAGAACGATCAGCACCCTCAAAATCACCACTTCCTTCTTCAACTAAACTTTCCATATCAAATTCAACGAGTACCAATCGGACACCCCAGTGTGATCAAACGACTATGGAGACATCGAGTCAAATGGCCCCTAATATAGATCCCAATGACGAACCTTTCAGGGCAAGACCTCTTCGTTGCCTCGGGTTGGAACACTTCAAAATCAACCCAGTTAGAAATGAAGGGCTTGATTATGCATATGATACAGTTGTTCGGAGAAAGGACGACCGTAAATGCATATCAGGCTGTACTCGCCCAGGATGCTGTGGGGATCGGTTCCGAGGTATGGCCCGTCTTGGGGGTCTCCCTAGTAAGCTTGGAACGGAACAAGAAGAAGATGGGGAGATTCTCCGAGAATTCATGGGAGATAATCTACAATTACTTCAAAATTTGAGCGAAACGGAACGCGATCACCTCCTAGTGGAAGCGAAGGCGAGAGTCTTGGCCAACAAGTATGGACGACATCGACATACTCACCAGCGGGCTCAATCTCCTCCTGGGTTCTGGCGCACTGACATGCCAGACACACAAGAGGTGGAAGATGATCGTGAAGCTGCGCAGAGACTTGAGCGAGAGAAAGTGGAAGAGCGATATCGAGAAGCCATGCGTCCTGGAGGAATATGGACATGGGCAGATGAATAAAACAGGCTGGGTGTAGGGGCTGGCCCCAAATATTTGGATATTTAGACCTCATGGTGTCAATTAGGGAACGAAAGCTATGATTTGATGTGTACTTTATGTTCACATTGATGTTTTATGTTGTACATTAGGTACATTGTAACAGCGACTGACTACCTACATGTACCTACCTAGGTACATAGGTAGGCACCTTATGTAGGTAGTAGGGTAAACTGCCCCCCCCCCCCCCCCCCCCTCCTTTTTTTCATGAGAACTGTCAAGGGATTTCGCATCATTTCCCAGTTGAGCACAGTCCTCCTTATGGGGCTTGTCTGAAATAACATGAGGTCGATGGTATTTTCAACCTCCTTTCTCAACAGCCTATTGAACTGTTGTTCCAACTGTCTTTCAACTGTGTTTATACCTGCCAGTTCCAATGCCAAATGACTACATCTTCCTTTCTTGTATACAATGATGATTTTTTAAATCAGCCACTAAAATTCCAGTTCAAATTGCTGGGGTTGACAGCGAAGGAATCCTCAATGCATGTATGATATATGATGTAGGATGTAGGGATGTAGGGTGTAGCCAGATGGTCAGTGCTTTTCAAACCGAACCTCGGCCCGGCAAATGCGGGACCACGTGCCCCCTACTACCTCATCCTCCCCGGATCTCGTCTCCCCCAGCTATCTCGCCATGCTGAAAAATAAAGATGGAATCCGTTCGCAATACTGCAAATTCAATACCCCAGGCGGCCTTACAACCATCCAAATGGCTTTCGATATATGAGGACTTTGTGACCAAGAATGCCAGTTCGGTTGGTCAAGTCGAGTCTGCGCTGAGGTCCTTGACTTATATCATCCCAGGTAAGTCTTCCTTCGGGACATTTCGGCTGTTGGACGTTTTAACGATTCTGGCTCACTAGGACGATACCGTGAATCGGAGATACCCTCAGAATGCGGTGAGTGTAACATTGCACTTATACTTGAGCGCGATTGCTAATAACCCTTTCAGTACACTCCGGTGTCCAGCTGTTATCCTTATACCATGATTCTCTTGTTTCGCGAGTTATTGATCAGCTTCCACTGACTGTTCCTCGGCTGCCCCCCACTCCCCATTCCCGGTATACCAAATATTGGACATCTCGTTCCTCCTTGTATCACCGAGTAGCGCTTGCGCTACAAATGCTCCAATACACCGAGCTTCTCTGGGAAATGGCGGCGCGAAGGCGCGGCCAGAAAACACGTTGGCGCGTGGTTGTCTTTATCGAATTTGCCAAAGCAGTCTGCCGCTTGCTTCTTCTGCGATTGACCAATTCCAGGCCCCTCGTCAGCCCTCCACTCCCAGAGCGCGAGGTAGATCCAAGAACGACAGAAGAGCAGGATCATCAGGGAAACTGGAATGGAATGGACACACCGATGAGTGAGCGTTCTTCAGACTTGAGCTGGACGATGCCTCGTACGGGAATGTCGCTTCCGTCTCTACCCGATGTTAAAGACGTGTCGAATTATCTCATCTCCAAAGTTCTCACGGCGGATGATATCAAACCCCCAAAAGCACTTCTTCACCGGGCAACTGGGCAAGGGCAAGTAGCTGAAATCCTGTACATTCTTCGACCTGTCGTCTACGCGATGGCAATGCAAAAATGGAGTGGTGACAAGCGAAGCTGGCGGCCGTGGCTCATTGGATTCGGGATGGAGTATGGCTGCCGCCAACTCGCAAAGCGTGACTTCCGCGAAAGGGTCGCTGGTGGTCTTCGAGGACTGACGGGTCTTGAACGAGAGGAACTGAAGAAGCGTGGGTGGTCAATGGGTTGGTGGATCATGCGAGGCGCATTCTATGAAAACATCACCAAGTAAGGATCCCTGCTGACTCTTGAGTTGCGTTTTCAAAAATTAACAGTGTGAAACAGGTCCTGGCTACACAGTGTAACTAGCAAGATGAACGGCAAGCCATTATTGGACTTGGTGGGCACCGTTGTCGAAGACTATGAATATCTCTGGGACAACTTTTACTTTTCGACTGCCACGCTGTGAATGTCCATGGATGTGCTCAGATATCCTTCACCCATGATACCCATATTTCTGTGCATGATTCTTTTCTCTTTCTTTCTTCATTCACGACATTTGCAGTCCGGCAATTTCTCTTTCTTCTCCTTCCTCTTCTTCTCTCGCTCTTGCTATGCTTTGCCTTGCCAAGCTAGCCCAAGGGTATCATTAATGTTTTATTATCATGTCTAATTCTATTGCACGGAGCATTCGCATTTAGAGAATCTCATTCTGCCTATGGCCATACCAACCTCGTATTCCATCCTTGTTTGTGCTTTTCCCGGTGCCTGATGATAGTAAAAACCCATCTAACCGAGGGGCATTTTCCTCCTCTTCGACTGGCCAGTCGACTCGTGCTCCTCCTTTCATTTCAAGCATCTCTTTCACTGTGCCCCAGCTGAACCGACACTCGTTGCCCCAACCAAACACAGGATCCATGTTGCGTCGAAGCCAGTTGACACACTTGGAGTCTGAAGGATAGCCACTTCCCCAAGTCTCAGGTGCTGGGTCCAGGGGCTGCTCAGTCGGAAGCATAGTCTTGTACATGACTTCGAGTGCAACATCACGCGTCACTTTAGCCGCCACACTAGCGGCGCTGACACATGGATACAATGAATCCGCTTTCTTTGCCACTGTGATTTTGAGAGATGGGAATATTCGCTCCAATTTCTGCTGGTATGTAGCGGGGTTACCGATTGTGTCAATGTACACCTCGCGAACATCCACTCCACGGTCTTCAACTACCCCCCTAATAATCTCCACCGTTGCATCCATGGCCTGGGCATTCAGATTGTATACTGCAGTGGGTGATCTCATCATGCCGGAAGAGATGTCACGGGCCGAAAGTACCTTGACCGCATATCCGCAGCACTCAAACAACGAATCTCCCGGTGTATTCAAGAGATGCATCAAGTTTGCTCGCACTGCAGGGGTAAGAACTTTGCTGTCGTCGAAGCTGTGCTGCTCGGTCAAGAGCGAGTGGTGGAGGTCAAGAGGAAGATAGAAGGCACCATAGACCATTGGGCCTAGAACTGGACCACGGCCGGCCTCATCCACCCCCAAGACGCATGGTGTGCTTCCAATTGTATCACGGGCGATGGGTGAAGTATCTTGGGGCGTAATTGCGCTAGGACATGGGGTATAGTACGCGTAGGATTCGCCGGAGAGAAGGTGTGCTGGGATCACACTAGGGGGAATAAAGGTGGACGATTCCTGGGGAGGATTGACGGGAGTATCATCGGTCATGGTAGGCATTTAAATTCTGAAGAGTATTATCAACCTTGAAGAGCTGAGAGAAACGAGGGAAGGATCTCCGGATGCTCAGTAAGGTAGGTGTGCAACGCGTCGACCGTTCGGGATTAGCGGGCGGGCGCGTGTTGCTCTTCCCGCCCAAATTCCGTCGCATTCCTCCCCTCCACCTTTATGTCTCGCTCGGCCCTTGCTTGTCTTGTTCAAATATCTACTTATCTTGGAGCTGGACCATTGATTGCCATTTTACTAAACTTGGTGCTCAATTTTCAATATGGCACGAGGGCCCGGAAAGGCCCGCGACTTCGACTACTCCAATGTGGGAACCAAGGGAAGGTGAGTCGTTATGCCACCGTCAATTTTCAATATAGCACACCAGAATCTCTCTATACTAATGTAGGCAATATATCTAGGCGCACTGGTATCTCCCTTAAAGAGGGTCGACGCGACGAGCATGGAATGGAAGAGGTAGATGGCCTTTTCTCATCTCCTGAAAAGTCGCCTGTCAGGTTGAATGGCTTTGAAGACGCAGAAAATGACTCTTCAGTTGGATCTGAGGGCATGTCTATAGATGAAGGTGTGCCAACCTAGTCTTTTCTCCAATTGCCAACTCAGTGCGTGCTAATTCAACCCCATAGGCAATGCGCCGGACCCCATGGACTTCCTCAAGAGTACAAACAGCTCACGTATCCCCTTTCCTCCTCCATCTGCTATACGGTCACCGATTAAGGCCGGCCTTACTGGATCTCCGCGGAGGTCTCCTGCGTTACAATCGACACCAGACCCACAGGATCTTCTTGAGTCGTCCAGCCCGTCCGATGGCAAAGGGTTAACAGGCGTGCAGGGAGAATCGCGGCAAGATCCTTCTCTCCCTATCTACTCGCTCTGTGAATGTGGGACGGTCGACCCAGAGGAATGGCATACAACACAAATCGGCAACAAAAGCACAACAGGGAGCAAAACCCGAACCAACAGCCGTACATGACTTTTCAGACTTTTCCGACGTCGACGGCGACGAGAATGCGTTCGCCGCAGTACAACAAGATTTCGGTGACAGCTTGAACGTTGATTCTGATTCAAGTGTGGCAGAGGAGTTGCCTAACTCTCCAGAGCTAGATCAGCATGATCATACCGATAATCTATCAGCGGCTGGCACGACTCCGCCTCGTGCAGAAGCCATTGTGAACAAGTCTGCGAATAAGAGTACGCCAAAAACCACCAAGACCAAACATAGCCGGACGAAATCTCCTGCGCCACGCGGGCGTCCAAAGTCTCACCGTCGCAACACGGAAGAAGATACTAACCCCAGGCCTAACAAAAAGCGGAACACCGCCAAAGAATCGCCACCAGTGCGCGAGCCCTTGGAGCCAGAATTAGATCGAGTGGTTGAAAATTACGCCAACCGCACCGGCCCCTTGAAAGGCCGAAGCTTGTATATTCTCAAACGTGAAATTCCTACCGATAACAATGCGACTCATACTAGATCTGGGCGGGTGTCTGTCAGGCCACTGGCGTATTGGCGCAATGAGCGGTGCGTATTTGGCGACGGCGAGGCTGCTGAGGGACATCGATACCCTCTCTCAACCATCAAGGAGGTCATTCGCACCGAGGAGCAGGAGCCTGAAAAGAAGAACAAAAAAAAGGGAAAGCGTCCAGCATCCCACAAATCCAAGTCAAAGAAGCGGAATGACGAATCCTCGGACGAGGATGAAGATGTTGATCTCTGGGAGAAGGAAGGTGGTGTTCTCCATGGCTACACTCTCAAATGGGACGCCAGGGCCCAGGCTAGTTCAAAGGAAGAGGAAGTTCTGGGTATGAACTGCAACCGCATCACTTTTGGTATTTTTTTACTAAATCTGTATTTCTCACAGATATCGCATATGCGCCCTCTGGAATTGAGACAAGAGAGGTCAAAGATTCAACATTTCGATTTGCGAAGCTGCTTAGTTCGTCTTTCATCGGGTCTGGGGTTGTGGAGCTTCCGCCTGACGGAGTCAAGAAACCAAAAAACTCAAAGAAAATGCACATGGTCTTCTATGTCTGTCATGGACGTGTCCAAGTTGATATCTCTGGTGTTCAATTTAGTGCAGGAAAGGGTTGTGTTTTCCAAGTTCCTCGTGGTATGTCTCTTTTTCCCTGTGTCATTTCGATTTGTATCAGTTCGTTGACACCAGGACTTCCTTCCTAGGTAACTATTACAGCTTTGCAAATACCCATCAAAAAGAAGCCCGGCTTTTCTTCACGCAGGGTTGCGTCCCCGGTGGAAACGAGAATGAGGATGACGCACCACAGATGTCCCAGGATGTTGGTCCTGAGAGCGAATTTGAGGCTGATACCGCTCCTGAACCTTCTGCTCCTGTCCCTGCTAGGAAAGCCAAGGGTCGTCCCAAGGGCAAACAGAAGAAGACCGGTAAATGACCAGTTCCATCACCTCTGCCATTTACTCCTGTTCCTATGTTAGTAGGCATTGACAACGCGCCATGACACCTCTCTTCGATTACGTGAATACCCTGAAATTTTATGTTGTGGGCGTCTGAATGTCATTTATTATTGTTATTCGTTCTTCAGCGATTTGTTTCACGCGATTACCAAGGACTTCGGCGTTTCTTTTTCCGCCTGTTTCTCTGGTTAGCATGCAGTATCTCGTGACAGATGGCGATGGAAGAGTAAGAGAAGCTAGGAAACAGTTCCTCATTTATTCGGAAATATCGAATTGTATGCGTTTTTCAAGCACACAATCCCATCTTTACTTGACAATGAGACAACATATCAAATCTCCTCCATTAGATCATCCAGGTCGTCATCTAGACCCAACGGGGGAAACTCCCCAATCTCGACTTTTTCGGGTTTCACAAAGACGCCCATGTTACTGAGGCACTCGAAGTAGCGTTTTCCACCTACACTACCATCATTCTTCCCCATCGGCTCATCAAGTTCGATCCCGATCCAAATTGGCTGGAGATCTGCCGAAAGTTCGGCATTCTGCTGCAGCTCGCGACCTGGACCGGTGATCGGGATAGTCGGAACAGGTCCAACGAAACGAATGGTTCCGCGTCGAATATGCGGTGGAGACGAAGGCAGAATAATAGCCCGTTTAGCAACAGCGATTCCTATCAAAAGCGCATCAGATGAGTGACAAATCAATAAGATACTGGTCTGAACGAACCTCTCGTTTGAACCTCCGCTTGATCTTTCTCAACTTGGTGGCGCAGAGCCTCTTCGGGCGATGGGGCCTTAGGATCAAAACGCCCCAATTTCTGGTTCTTTTTCCAGGCCAATACAGAATCCGACCGGGCCTCGTATGTTTCAGTTGGCAGCACATATTTCTCGACTGATGAAAGGTCGGTAAAATTAGCCCGCATGGTTTGCGGACGGCTGTCATTGACCTAGGAGGATATAGATCAGCATGTAATCCCAATTGCGGCATGACCTACTTGTCCTCTCAACCCAATCCAAAGGAAACGGCTCAGCAGGCATGGCAGTGTTTGAGAAAAGACAGAAAGGAAAGAAAGATTGAACAAACCTCGATTTCTGACCCCTTCACCAATCCCCAATCCCCAATAAGGCGATCGTCTTCATCAGCCCATTGGTCAGGTCGACCGGGCACCTTCACCCGCAGGCGCTGACTGCCTGGTGGGATGCCTGTCATAGTCTCTAGCTTTGCCTTAACCTGCATCACCGTCCAGGTGGGAGTGATGCGACGTTCAGTCAAGAATCGGGGCTCTGAGTTCCCGGGCTTGGCTAAAGCCGCATTGGTGATGATGACGGAGATATCCATCGGGGTAGGCTGAAATGCCATTTTGTCTGTATCTTCTGTGTCTTTTCGTATTTCTGGAAAGCAGTGTCAGACTTGGCCATTGTGGGAGCATGTTCTTTGGGTAGCAGGGTGTGAGGCATTGAGAGAAAATCCAAATAAGGCAGCTGGTTCGAATAGTATGTAGTTTTCCAGGTAATCAAAACAAGCAAAACAAAAGAAAGAGAAAGAGACTATATATTCGGCGCCATTTCGGAATTATTGTATCAGATTCCCCTGAGGGGTTCATAGGAAATGCGCAGTTGCCAGGGCAGCTTGATGGCACTGGATGACAAGTGCACAGTCGATGGTCTAGATAAGCGAATAGGATGATCCTTGAACATATCAAACAGTACTTACAATTGATCTTGTGCTCTCCTGGGGGCAAGAAAAGGAATGTCTCTTTGGATCTCCAAAAAGTGGTCCTTAGTCAGCATGTCCCCCACGGGAGCCCTGGAGGCACTGGGTTACAGTCGAGAATAGAACCGACAAATGATACCAACATCATGTAGGACAGAAGAGAAAGGAATTCCCTTCTTGGCTCTGTTTTTCCCCGATAAGCAATTGCCCGATTAAGATGTCGAACTGGAAGGTCTCAGGTCAAATAAAATAAGATTTTGATATAGTACATGTATGTATGTATGTTATGTATGTATATGTATACCAAGGCATTGCTTCGCGTGGCTTACGAAGGTACTTACAGAGTACATGTACTCCATACTATATCATCGATTGAACCAGTCAACAATGATCTATCCATTGTAATACCTACCTAGGTACTATCAAATAATAACAATTCAATGTGGACGTTAGCCCTCTTTTCTACTAAAGTTCGTGCACATAACTCCAGGCTTTGACCCAGAAATCATATCAAATGATTGATGAGATGAATGAAGGACAGTGGCGTAGGTATTGAAGGAGGGGGAAAAAAAACGTTCTCCCAATTTAATCTATACATACATACAGAGTAGTACCTACTTGAGGTATGCACTTTGAGATGACTCCACAGTAATAGAGGGGTCAAAAACAGAAAGGAGACAGGAGAGACATGTCCAGTGCATCAACTGTCAATGATTTCAGACCAAACGTAGGCACAAGTGATCTACGGAGTCCTTGAACCATCCATCGAACTGTACAGAGTACATATACCCATATATAGCAATAATTATAGCACATAACATGATATCAATCTCCCCGAAGTGATAAAGACACGTGATATTCAACTCGCCTGAACTTTTCCACCTTCACCAGTTCCCACCCTTGTCACAACAAAAGCACCATGGCATCCCAACAGGCAGGCGAAGCATACGAGCAACAAAACGTCCATAAGGTGTATCAGGAGATCGCTCAGCATTTCTCCGCCACCCGCTACAAGGTGTGTGAGAACTGACCCCCACTTCAACTCGCTGATCCAAACTAACGACTTCCCCAGCCGTGGCCAATAGTCGAGCGGTTCCTTACAGATCTAACACCAGGAGCAGTGGGATTAGATGTTGGATGTGGTAATGGCAAGAACTTGATGGTTAATCGAGATGTCTTTATCATTGCCTCCGATAGGTATGTCATAATAATATTGATTTTTGATTTTTGGGTTTTCTATAGACTGCTGTATTTTCTTGGGATTTCATTCGCTCGTCCTGGATATCCCTTACATCTTAGCCTGAGTCTGACCCGATGGCAGATCTGAAAACCTGGCCCGGATTGCCTTGCAGCATCAGCCGCATTCGACCGTGGTGGCCGACATTTTAGACCTCCCACACCGTGATGCGAGCTTTGACTTTGCAATCTCGATCGCGGTAGTGCATCATCTGTCTACTCCGGCTCGGCGAGTCCAAGCCGTCGCCGAGATTTTGCGAACCGTGAAACACGGTTCAAAGTCGCAAGAGGGCGGAAAGATCCTGATCTATGCCTGGGCTCTTGAGCAAAAGGACAGCCGGAGAGGTTGGGACAAGGGAGATGAGCAAGATCGAATGGTACCCTGGGTTCGTAAGGGTGATCAACCCCAGACCTTTCATCGTTATTACCATCTGTACACGGAGGGCGAGCTGGAACGTGACATCGACAATGCCGGCGGTCGTGTCCTGGAATCCGGGTACGAGAAGGATAATTGGTGGGCTATCGCGACCCCCAAGACAGCTTATGACGTTTGAAATGTGTGACATGCGCTCCGAGAGCCAGCCTCGGAGTCGTTGAAAAACACACCAATCCACATTGCTGGCCCCGCCAATATCTCTGCAAACAAAGGAAAATAACCCAACCAACACCGAGGGGTAGGAATCATCTATACGATTCACCACCCCCACAAATCACGATATACCTCCAAACCCGGCGCTATGCAATTCGTAACAAAGACAAAAGAAAACAAAAAGATGAAGGGCAAAAAAAAAAAAAAAAGAAAAAGAAAAAGAACAAGGGAGCAAACTCAAGGAAAGACGTTTAGGCGTCATCTTCATCGTCATCTCATCCTAGGGCATGGTTCGAGGAGGCATGCCAAGATGAGGGCCCATGAGACCTGGCGGGGGGATTCCCATCTCTGGCGGTCGACCGATTCCATAGAACTCTCTTGGGGGCGGGGGGGCAGGCGCGTAGGCAGGAACGCCTGCAGTGAGCTCTTCAAGGGACGGAAGCTGGGGTGGAAGACCAGGTAGATGGCCTGGGATTGCGCGGGAGGAAGAGCCTTTCCTCGGCCGGGATAGAGAGGTGCTGGCGCGGCGCGTTCTGGTGGTAGGGGGATCGATGGCAGCGCTGGAAAGTGAAAATGGCACAACACCCGCGCGGCGAGCCATTTCCTGCTCCCCTAGCTGCCAGTGCATGGCCTCAGCGGCACGCCATGGGATAGCCATTTCCTCCGCAACCTTAGACCACATTTCGGCTTTGAATCTAGTAGATGAGTTCAGGGTCAGCGGGTTGTTTCCGACATTAGCATCTTTAGACCTACCTCTCATATAAACGGGCTAACTTGTTTTTCTTGTCCTCGTCCCACTCACTTCGGCGCTCCAGGTAGTTTTGATAATGAAGACGACAGCTGATGGCACTGCGGCCGGGTAGTCGTTTGCTGATGTCTTCCCACTTCATGCCACTGCCACGCAGTTCAATAATCAAAGCATCCTCATCTGGCGACCATTTGGACTGCTTCTTTGCAGGAGATTCGGCTGTATGTGAGGGCTGTAGGCGCTTAGCAGCACCCGAGGGACCAGTCTTAGTCAAGGGTGGCATGGCCATAGCAGCCGGACCTGGCATAGTCATCATGGGACCCAAGCCTAGTGGTGGCCCTATCGTTCTGGGCGGGTACCCGGTGTTCAAACTTGGGGCGGCTTCCTCCTCATCTTGGGGCTTGAGTAGCAGTGAGATATCCACTTTGGCAGGAGGCAATATAGGCCGATTTTGTAACGCAATCATATGCGCGGATGAAGACCAGTGAATAGTATAGAAACAGAGGCAGCAGGAGATCCTCCACTGGAGGGGGAAAGGCCACAGAAAAGACGGAAAGTGCTCGTGATCCCAGTCTTTTCCCAATGACAGAATAATCAACGTCCACACTTAAGGAAAATCAAACCCAGGTCGACTTCGTTTTTTTTTGCTCTGGAGCTTGATTATTTCGGGGGGGGGGGGGGGGGTTTGGTTTTGGAGAGGAGGGGAGGAGGTATCGGATCTCTTGTCCCAAAGCAAACAGAGAACCGAGTTGAAGTCTCGAAGAGAATGGGCGAGAGCAGGATGTGATGGCCGGTTCACAGAACTGAAATCTGCTCAGGGTTGATTCGAAGAGAGAGATGACTTAGGGTTTGAAGGGGAGGGGGAGAAGAAAAGCCCAGATGGTGAAGCATCCCAGGTCGAGTCTAGAAGGCCAGAACGTTGAAGATGAAACGACAAACGATCAACTTGGAAGTGACAGCTGATCCTAAGCTACCTATCCGAGAAAGAGAGGAGAAGAGAGTCTTAGACCGGGACTATAATAAGGGTAATGTGGTTACTGTAAAATAAAGTAAAAATAATATCCACAGGTTTTAATTAAAGATCAAGCGGTCAGTTCCCCCTCATGGCTTTTTTTTTAGGGCATTTTTTTATTCTCGAGATGTATATGTTGTAGTTCTCGTTCTCTACGGAGTAGGGTTCGAGGAGACTCTAGCTGCTGTACTCCATCCATTGTAGGACTCTGGCTCCTTTCTCTTCTTTTAGCTATCGGAAAGGTTTGATATGACCTGCAGAGTTTCATAATGACTCAGGAAGAGGGGCATCAAACGGTAATTAATGCTAAATATATCAGAGCATCAGAGCATCCGAGAATAATCAAATTAAAATTAAATCGGGGACCCGCATCACCCTTTTGTTAAATGAGCGGTCTTCTCCGGCCCAGACACTAACCGTTGCAACTAAAAGTTCCAGATCGTAACGGCGGGGAGGAGTGTACCTTAGGGGAACCAGTCGGGGATTTTTCTCCCCCCTTGCTCTTCTTTTTCTTTTCTTTTCTTTTGGGGCGGGGCTATATTCCGGGTTCCCGACTCTCGGGATAATTTCATCTGCACAGAGTCCATCTCTATACATATAGCTATAACGTATATAGAGGGCTACGTCGGAGGACGGAGTACACAGGAATTGGCCACTCTTCCAGAATCTAATACGATCCTGTCATACTGTAGATCATCTCTTTTCTCTTTTCTCTTTTCTCTCTCTTTTTTTTTGTTTTTTTTTGTTTTTCTTTGGTTTTTCTTTTCTTCTTTGGTTTCCCCATACCAATGCCCAGTGCCTGAATCCAGACCCCTGTAAAATTGGACCCAGTTGATCTGTCGGGTCCAGAATCCTATTCCTCCCAGAACCTTCTGGCTCTAGTTTTTTTAAGATTAATCGTAATTTACCGTTCCCCTGATAATGTCTGAAGACCCGGACTAACGTCTGAAGGACTCCTATAATCTCTTGAACGACGGGGACATGTTCACGCAGATTAAGGGACCGGTGGGTCTCAATTTCCCGTTAATTGGCAACGGAGGACGGAGGACGGAGTAGTACACACAGAGAGATACATGAGTATTGTACTAAATCTTCGTGGCCGTTGGACCCAGAAACCGGGCACATGCTTAGATCGAACAGTTCCTCGGGGCCATCTTACAAACTTTGGATGTGCCTGTTATGCTCTCTCCTTATAGTATCGATTTCCCTTTTCCTCTTTTCCTCTTGCTCTCCGAAACGACGATCAATTGGCCTGAAACACCCGTTCAGTCAATGCACTGAGATCAGCGAGCTATGCCTCTTCTTGTTCAACCATCCGCCCCTCCAATCTCGTCTACAGAGCAGTTGGTGTATCAACTTTCCCGAAGGCAAAAAAAATAAAAAATAAAAATAAAAATAAGGCAACTAGAGAGAGAGAGAACGAGCCCGTCGAACATGTATGTCGTAAGTGGATCATCCTCGTACGACAACGTTCGTGACGATCGCTACCTTCTCTAGCTTCGGGGCCAGCACAGACATGACCATCCCGTTCGGCAGCTACGGCTTTGTGATCCGTTTGGAGCAACCGGGGGGCGAGTCAGGCAATACTGCTTAGACCCAATACCCGGATTATCTCCGAGGCGACGATCAGGAAAACAGGAGAATGAGGCGGTGACGCCTCGAGGACCTAGTCAGACGCGGGAAGAGAAAGCCTGATGATACGCGCAGGTTAACGGTGCCAGCTGAAGGCAAAAAAGGCTAACCGGCTCAGCCAATAACTAACGGTGTGGAGTCGGAGGGGCAAACGTTGGATCATCGCGACTATGACTTAAGTGGTAGCGGCCGAAGAGCTGGTGGCGCTGAGGTTTCTCTACAAGATACAACCTACGGCGTACGGAGTACGTGGTGCTCCGTATTGCACGCCTTCACTCTTCACGTCCCCATGATACATTTCTGATGCGTTATGATTGGATCATCAATCACTGGACCTGAGTGCGCATTTCGGTTCCACTCATCCCGTACCCTGAAGTGGCAGATAAACGCGAACGCTGCTGTCAATACTCGCGACTACGGGGCAAGTGCTAAGGGGGAAAGTGGATGAGGAGAAAACGATATGCAAATCCCGGACAATAAATGGGGAGCTTTCGGCCGGATCTATCTGGAGATGGCCACCCAATCAGCATCTTTCAGTTGCTACTCTTTTCCTATCTGAAACTTGTTATAAACTAGTTTCTATTGGCAAAAACCAGTTTATGGCATTTCCATCTCACGCGGTTCTACGGAGTACGGAGTATATATAGGATGTCAAATAATAAGTGACATTGAGAATCCAATCCTCGAGTGGAAATGCCGTCATCTCCATGTATACTTCATATAGGTCGTAGGGGTACTATGTTGTGTAGGGATGCAGTCGATGTGCAGTCCTGGAGATTTGGCTCGACGGCCTCTTTTTTTATTGCACTTCTCATCTTTTGCTTTTGCTATTGCTTTTGCTTTTGCTTTTGCTTTTGCTTTTGCTCTTCTTCTTTCCCTGGCCCTTTTTTCCCCCTTCTTTTCTTCCCCTCCCTGTCCCCTCTTTACCCTGTCTCCCCTTGCTCCCTTTGGTGATTTCTCTTTGAGCGGTTGGTAAGATGTTGTACTTATTTATAGATCGAGATGAAACGGAGACTTGAGCAGACACTTCTCTCTCAAAGGAAGTTTCTTTGTATAGAAAGTAATTCTACTCGAGTGGGATGTATGCTTTGGGAGCCTATGAAAGAAAAAAATAAGACCGAGTCTGAATGAATGTATCTGGACTCGACTGAGCTTCGATTTTCTTTCATTTCGGAATTCTCAGATGGCGAGATTCACTGGCTCTAATCTGCCTCAAAGAATCTCAGTCGCGGCACTTTCTTTAGAGCAGACGATAATGAAAATCCTTCGCAGTGCACACGTTCTTCATAGAAGATAAATTAAACTGCGATTCCCTCGATTAATTCAAGACGGACACACTGGCATATTATATTCATTTCACCTTACATTATATCAACAATGGCGGAAGCATTTGAGGATAACATACCTGGATCTCGACCCGAGTATGAAGATGAGGAGATGCAGGATGTAGAGTTTGAGGAGTTTGAGGAGGGTGAGGGTGAGGAGGGTGAGGAGGGTGAAGAGGGTGAGGAGGGCGAGGAGGGTGAGGAAGAAGAAGAGGGTGAGGAAGAAGAAGAGGGCGAGGAGGGCGAGGAAGAAGAAGAGGGCGAGGAAGAAGAAGACGGTGAGGAAGAAGAAGACGGTGAGGAGGGCGAGGAGGGCGAGGAAGAAGAAGAGGGCGAGGAGGGTGAGGAGGGTGAGGAGGGTGAGGAGGGTGAGGAGGGTGAGGAGGGTGAGGAGGGTGAGGAGGGTGAGGAGGGTGAGGAGGGCGAGGAGGGCGAGGAGGGCGAGGAAGAAGAAGAAGAAGAAGAAGAGGGCGAGGAAGAAGAAGAGGGTGAGGAAGAAGAGGAAGAAGAGGAAGAGGAAGAAGAAGGTGATGAGGTTGAAGGTGAAGAGTTCGAGGAAGAATTCTTGGAGGAAGAAGTGGGCGACGAGGAGGAAGAACCGTCATCCCTGCTAATGACATGGAGAGTAGGTCTCTCTATCCTCCCTTGACCGCATCCATTCTAACGATCAGACACCCACTCCCAAATACTGGATCCCACGAGTGCCTAGAGAGAGCAACACAGGATTTGTGAACTCGAGTGCTCAGTGCTATCGAAATGTCACCTTCCAAATGCTTCTACATTTGCCAGTCTTCATGAACTGGCTCATTTGGTATAAGCATCATCATGCACCCAGGGGCTATATTTGCAACCTTGGCAGCTCATCTCTCACAGGTCCGGCCTCGTGTAAAGTATGTCATCTTTATACTCTCTTTGAGAGATATTGGAAACAACAGGATTGCGCTACCGCCCTTGAAAGGATATCGGCTCTCTTTTTGAACGATTGGAAATCACTCACCGGGCCGCAAACTGAAGAAGACCCGGCAGAGTACATCGAAGCAGTTTTCAGCCAGATCCACCAATGTGTTAAGCCTATGTTGTATGTTTCCTCGTCTCCTCCCATTCATGACACAGACTGACTTTGAACCGCAGCCGAGGGGACTTGGAAGATATCTTCCAGATACATATCATTGATGTCACAAAATGCGTTGGCAACAATGCTTGTGGGCCAAAATACACCACACGAACACAGGTGTGCTTGCCACTAAGGTTCCCTCATAACAGCAAGTCATCAAGCAATCCGGATTTGAGTGAAGCCCTTAAAAGGCATATGGAACATGAAGATGATATTGGAACCTGCGCCACATGTGGAAACCGCCGGATATCCCAAGAACAGATTGGAAATTTCCCCGAGGTACTCATCATCCAACTCAACCGCATCAGCGCAAGAGGCAAAAAGATCGATGACCAAGTACAACTCAGCGATCCGCTCACTATTAAGAAGAGTTATGTCGATGAGCGCCATGGTACAGCGCGCGAAACCGTTCGCTACAAACTGTCCTCGGTGATCATGCATCAAGGCTCGGACATGACACACGGACATTACAAAATCGGTGTCAAAGGTCGATCAGACGAATGGACACTGATCGATGACAAGTATACCCAGGGCTGGGACAAGAAAGATTTTGGAGCTGAACCGGATCACCTTGTCGAGTCATATATCTACGCATACCGCCGGCTACCCACAAATGAGTTGGAACTGACGGACACAGAAGATGTTCGGGATTCCATGGACATCGACCCCCGTCCAGAGGCGGAAAAACCACAAATTAGGGCCGCTCAGATCCCGAGAGAGACTCGGAAGAAAAATACGCAGAGCGCAGTTCCTCAGAGCGCAGTTCCTCAGACCGCAGTTCCTCAGGACCCAGTCACTCAGGGCCCAGTCACTCAGGGCCCAGTCACTCAGGGCCCACAACTGCTAGAGCTGAGTCAGGAGGCAGCTCAATCAGTGTCGGAGTTGATGGGTGGGATGGTTCCAGGTATTATCGATGCCTATGTGGCTCGCTCGGAGCAGACGCGGCTTAAGGAATGGGAGAAGTGGATGAGTCAGAGGGAAGAGAAGTTGGAGGCGGAGAAGAGGGAGAAGGGAGAGAAGGGGGGACAGAAGAGGGGACAGAAGAGGAAGCACAGAGGGGATGATGATGATGGAGATGATGATGGAGATGATGATGGAGACGATGATGGAGATGATGGAAACAAGGGTAAACTTGAGCAATTCCTGGAATGGAAACAGGCGCGAGGATTATTGGAGCTCACTGTGACCGATTCAACTGGGGAAGTAGTGCTGGATCTGGAAACACAAGGGTTGCACTATAACAGACTCAAGGGGAAGAGCAGGAAAGCACCCGTGGCCAAAGTAGAGAAGAAGGCCGGGACATGGAAGCGACTGAGGGAATCAGTGAGTAGAAAGGCGAAGAAGTGATTTGTGAAGTGATTATGCGTTGGGGTAGTTCTTATTTTTGTTTTGTATATCTGCGAGTTCTTCAGTTTCGATATTTCAATGTGATTCGTTGCCCTTTTCCTTCCTGCTCCCACAATGGATTCCATCTCCTACACAAGAACCTTTGTCGATTGCCTAATCACAGAATTAGCTCAATATCAACTCGGGCACCAGGGCCAGACACAGATTCCACAGGCCTTTCCCGGATTGTCGGCATTACCGACAAGCCTGAAACCATTGATGTTGACATTGCACTGTCTCTTCCCCAACGATTTCCTCCCAGCTCTTGATATCCTTGACCGCAAACTCGTGCGCCAGATTATGCGCATGAACCAATGCGATGCTACAACATCTAACCCAGACACGCCCACAGCCCGGTTGGAGCCCGAGGATATTTTCCTCGTGATATCTGCCTCGGCACCGCCTTCATCTCCAGATGCTTCGTCGACTAGACCTCCCACTCGCGAGCAAGAAAAGGGGTACGAGGTTCGGCTGCGTGCCTGGAATTGCAGCTGTCCTACATTTACCTTGTCTGTATATCGCGACTCTTTCCCACGTCCCGAATCAGTTACAGCAAATCACCCTAGTGTTGGGGCAGCCGGACCTAACAAGAATGGGCTGCCCGAGTACTCATTTGGTGGGATGCTGGCGTGTGATACAACCTGGGTTTCACCCCCTGCCTGCAAACATATCCTGGCCTGCCTTTTGTATGTACGGTGCCCAGAGCTGTTCGGAGTTCACGGGCATGGCAGGGTTACTGTCTCCATGGAAGAAATCGCCGGCTGGTGTGCTGGTTGGGGTGGTTGATTCTTGACAGTTTTGTTGACATCTTAAGACAATTTGATATATACTCAGCTGGGTGAAGAGTCGGTGGCCCATGGCTTCCGCTGAGGCGACATGAAAACGATCCCCCATGAACCGATGAAATCGGGTCTGTGGAACTACGAACCCTTGTCTAGTTGACGGGCATATCTGCTCAGACAACGACTCAAGCCAGTTGGTTACGATCGAACTATAGCTGGCTTGAATAGGACGTGTGAAAAGTCGGTCGATTGGTGGATGAAGACTTGTTCCGAAATCCTTGATGATTGTGGGATAGTTGCAAGAATAGTTCCAAGAATAGTTGCAAGATAGAATGGAAGCGCCAACACGATAGATATTCCTATATCTACAGCTTACAAATGACCCATGTACGCCGCCATGGTAAATGACTACACGGGTAGTCTATGTCTGCCGGCAAGATCTTGCTTGACTTTGGCTGTCCCCTGTACATCAAGAGATGTAAGAAAATCAACCGAAATGTCACGTTATTCACTTGTTGAGATGACAATTCCGTCAAAAGAAAAGAATAAATTAAGAAAGAAAGTGAGAAAATCCTTTAGTCCTTCTTATCGGAGGTATCCTGCTCCTCCTTCTGCTCGCCATTTGGCGAGCTAGCCTTCTTGGCATCCTTGTCACTCTTAGTCCCATTGATCTCCTGCTCCCGCTTGGAGTCATTCTCCTCTTGCTGTTGTCGGTTCTGGATCTTGTTATCGATTAAGTCGTGGAAGGCCGTAATAGCACGGATCAAGCTGCTGATGTAAATAGCCATCAATTGGTCGTTGGTCTTGATACTCATGGCCCGTGCTAATTCACTGTTCTCGATCTGTGGCTCCTGCCCGGTGACTCGCTGGGTCGCTGGCGGGGTGGACAGGTTGGGAAGGAGGTTGAAAACATCCTGAAGATTGCCAAGAATGGCATGGTTGACTGGAAGTTCCTTGTCGAGAACTTTCTGGAGGTATTGACCAATGTCGCGTAGCCGCAGATGCAATCCTTGCAGTGATTGCAGCTGCGACGTGATACGAGTGGAAAGTGTGCCGACTGCAACATCTCTGATGTCGCGGAGGAGATGTTCCACGCCGATCTCCTCTGCTTCTTCAGCTTCGATTATCGACGGGGTGTGCACGAACGTCCGAGAAGTTGTGGTTCCATCCTGGAAGGAAAAAGGAGCCATAGTTAGCCATGTTGGTTTGATGAGTATTCCTCGCATTCAACACAAACTCACATCCTTGATCTCATCCACAGCGAAGTAAGCATCTGTAGGCACACCCACTTCCTTCGGTTGCACATCGACAATGACTAGCAAGGGGTTGGGTGTGTATTTCTTGAAAAGCTCATTGATCTCCAAATCTGAAGCGCGCAGCTTAGGGCCTGAGTGGTACCAGCCGACTAGCTTCTCACGAGCATTGATCTTCTTGAACATATCCCTCATCGACTCGACGAAATTGTGGTCTAAGAACCACACCGATGGATCTTTTTCATCCTCTTCGAACGGAACTAGAAACACAAACACAGTTGTCAACTCATCTGTCATGTAGGTTCCATCGAAGCTTGCACTAACCAGCAAAACTGTTTGATACCCGGACATTATCACCCGTGTTTTCGCCCAGTAGCACACCTACAACACGTTTCCGAGTACCCTTTGCTGTTCTCCCATAGTGATCTGCGACAGAGAGAAGGACTAATGGGGCAACCGTCACGGAACGGTTGACGAGGGATAGCGTGTCCGCCGTAGTGGCAGGCATCGTGAGAAGGGTGATAGGAAGCTTAAAGAGAAGTCAAGAACTACAAGAGTAACTAAATCTTGTAGAATGAATAAAATCCAATGGAATATGCGTGGCAGGGGAATGCGATGGATGGAAAGCGATGATGCACAGGTGCTCTGAGAGCTCTCCGCCACAGGCCTGCGCCATTGTGGCTGGAGATCTTAATAAGCAATCGCAGCCACTTTGGTGGCTTCGGAGGAGCAGATGTGAAAAACTCGGAGTATATACGTATGATCCAGCATATAATTAATTAGAAGATATACATAATATCATGCATACAATCAAAACTATATCAATTGTAACTCGTCTCTCGGAGATATAGTCTAGATCCAATATACATCGGAAGCCGAGTATTCACTCCATTCCAGCTGAAGCCCGTGCTCCGAGCCTCGGACCCTAAGTTCCTGCGAATCTTCCCTTTCCCCATTTCTCCGTTTTCCCGTCCACGCAAGCCTTTCTCTTCTGTAACTTTCAATCCTCTCTCTTCTCACAATCACAATGGCTCCCATCACTGAAGAGGCCGTTTCGGGCCTGAAGAACACCATCAACCAGCTTGAGGCTAAGGTGTCCGAGCTTGAGAGCCGTCTCGCCAATGGCGGCAAGCCCAAGTCCGCCGCCGAGCAGATGCGCATCATCTTGATGGGTCCTCCTGGCGCAGGTAGGTAATTAAGCTGTAACTGAAAGGACCATGAGTATTAACAATTCTTGATCAGGCAAGGGTACTCAAGCCCCGAACCTCAAGGAAAAGTACTGCGCGTGCCACCTGGTAAGTAGAAGTTTGTCTGAGTACGGCATGAGCTCATCTCGCTGACCCGAATAGGCCACCGGAGACATGCTGCGTTCCCAGGTCGCCAAAAAGACCGAGCTTGGAAAGGAGGCCAAGAAGATCATGGACCAGGGTGGTCTCGTTAGCGACGAGATCATGGTCAACATGATCAAGAGCGAGCTGGACAACAACACAGAGTGCAAGAACGGGTTCGTGCATTTTTATCCTCAATTATCCATCCCCTTCCGAGGTCCGGCCAAATTTTAACACATGAGGTGGATAGTTTCATTTTGGATGGTTTCCCCCGGACAGTCGCGCAGGCCGAGCGTCTCGATGACATGCTTATTGCCCGTGACCAGAAGCTTCAGCACGCCATTGAGCTGCAGATTGATGATTCCCTGTTGGTGGCTCGTATCACCGGTCGCTTGGTCCACCCTGCCTCTGGCCGCTCGTACCACAAAATCTTCAACCCACCCAAGGAGGAGATGAAGGACGACATCTCCGGAGAGCCGCTGATCCAGCGCTCCGATGACAATGCCAATACCCTTACCAAGCGTCTGGCTACTTACCACGCCCAGACTACCCCCGTTGTCGAATACTACAAGAAGACCGGCATCTGGCGCGGCATTGATGCCAGCCAGGAGCCTGGTCAGGTGTGGAAGAGCATCCTTGGTGTCTTCCGCCAGTAAACGATTCCACTGGAGTGGTCACATCTTAAAAAGGGAATCTGGGGAGGGGGCTGTCAATTTGGCACAATTTACTAGTCCGGGCTCCGTGATGCCTGCCGTTTTCCTATGTTGTTTTTCTTAATTGGGGCACACCGGGCGCATGGCTGGCGTTTTCGTCCACATATAGACCTGGGTTCGTCCCCTTGACCGCCATGTATAGTAGTAGTATGTGTGTAGCTTTTTGGGTACCGAATACACTCAAGACCGGCATGCATCCAATTGGATCTTCTATTAAATCTTCTTCATTTCTCAGTCTGTCGAGGAATCTAAACCAGGCGAAACCTAGCGAGATGGAATGTATATTCACATAGAACTAGCCTTATCTACATTCGCCATGTAACTATTTACAATTGCTGAGGATACTCAGTCGACTCAATCTTCTCAGGATAGACCAAACCGCCCTGCCTGCGAACCTCATCCATGACTTCCATGATCACGATACTCTCTTCCCATGGCATGCCCTCGCTTTCAAGCTTGCCATCACGCAGACAACGAGCAACCTCGTCAGCTTCCCAGTACATACCATGGCCTTTACCGGGAAATACGGACTGAACCTCACGGATCTCACCAGCGCCCTTCTTGGGAATGATGCGATATCCTTCTGGCCGGAAAGGGTGTCCGTGCACTTGTATCTCGCCTTGAGTGCCCTGAATACGAATGGAAGGGCCGGTAGAGCCCTTCTCATCCGGGTCGGCAGCGACACGAATGTTGGTCATGGCCACACCGTGTGACTGTTGCGGATACGGCCCATTGGAAGGGGTACTTGTAGGGAAGCGCAAGAGCATGGTAGTAGACTCGTCCGCACCGGTCAAATGATATGAAGTCATTTGCGAGGAGACAGCAGGAGGCTTCCTCTGGTCTTGGGGCAGGGTGTGATATAGAATCTGGAAGACCCAGGTCAGGGAGTAGATACCCACTAAAAATGTCAATCAGTCAAAGCTGTCCCCTCTCTTCCTTCTTCCGGGGTAGGAAGGGAATAAATAACCAAAAATCGAAAAACTTACAGTCCAAAAGGGCACCACCAGCTAGATCAGGGTTCACCATGCGGTGGGTAGTGCCCCATTTCGACTCAACGTCATCACCGAAGCTCGTATCAGCTACTACACGAAGCACCTCGCCAATCTCACCTTTCTGGATGAGCTCTCGGATCTGAATGCTGAGAGGGAAGAAACGAGTCCAGACAGCCTCCATGAGGAAGAGTTTCTTCTCGCGGGCAATGTCAACGAGAATTTTAGCCTGCGCAGCGTTGACGGTAAATGCTTTCTCGCAGAGAACGTTTTTGCCCGCCTCCAAAACCAGTCTGACGTTCTGGTAGTGGTGGGAGTGCGGGGTTGCAACATAGATGACATCGACATTGGAGTCAGCTACCAGAGCCTCGTAGCTACCATATGCGGCGCAAGGAGTGGTGATTCCTCGAGCTGAGATGAAGTTCTCGGCCTTCTCCTTGGATGAGGACGAGGCGACGGCCACGATTTGATGAACTATGTCTGAGGCATCACGGACATTGGAGTCGATGAGAAGGTCCTTTGTGAATGCTGTGGACAATCGGTTATTTTATGAACTTGGGTGCACTGACGTACGGTAAATAGGATCTTACTCTCAGCAATCCAGCCAGTGGCTATCAATCACGTCCAAGGTTAGCTTTGTTTTTTTTTTTCTCTCGAACAATCCAAATCCAGGCCTCATACCCATGATACCCCAGCGCACAATGTGTGGCGCCATGATGAAGCGATAGAGTAAACTCGAGGGACGGAAAAGACAAGAGGCACAAGGTTGAAAAACAAATTGTCTCGATGCCCGTGGAAATTATTTATCATCGGATGGAGAAACCTGGAGTCCGGAGATGCACCGAGCGGGGCAACGGCAAGTAGTGATTTATGTTTTATGGACACGTATGATTTCAATGTGATGGCATTTCAATATAAAGAAAAAAGAACCCAATTCGCTAGTGATCAACGCCAGAGAGGTATGCCCTATGCAATGCAAAGATAATTGCCAAATTGATGGTACAAAGATTCCAATCAAACCGCCTCGGTCTTGACGCGTGTCTTCTGACCCGGAGATTCAGTTCCCTATACATAATGAGCTCTCGGAACAATTCAAGATACTATCCAAGGTACTCACTTCGGCTTTCCTTTTGCCTAGGACCGACTCAGGCGTGGTCGTGCGCGTCTGACGCGTCGGTGCAGGGCCTTTGGTCACTTCGGCATAACAGCTGGCATGATATACGCGACTTCCGACCTTGGTAGCGTCTTGCCAGATCCAGTCCTGCACATCCTCGGACCAGGTCGATTCGAACTTCTCCTGGCAGATGGGGCAAGGGGTGTTGCGGAGAGTCGCATCGTTCGGAGCTCGAATCCACGGCCTTGGTGGCTCTTGCTTCGCATTGCCATCAGTACCTACGGCTCCCTCCGCGTTTGTTTGAGGATCTGCCGCCCCGTTCTCGTCGCTAGCCTCTCGAGATTTGATCCAGTCCTGTGAACAGTTAGAATCAAGGCTGGAAAAACTCGATGAATGACATATACATACCCTTTCGTCGACATACCAGCTCCGATTTTGAGCCCGCCTGGAAGACTCCGTCATACGCTGATTAGTCTTGAAATGCCAGTCCAGGTGCCGTGCCTTCATTTCCTTGCCTTCTTCTGTGGTTAGGAATCGACGGCCGCAAGTCCCACACCGGTTTGGCCGGGAATCATAGAGGGAGATAATCAGTCCAAATCGAGGGATTTTCATCGACGCAGTAGTTGCCGGAACTCCGGATGATCCATCAGAGGGGATTGGAGTTTGGGATGGAGCCGGCGGTGTGGGTTGCATGCCATTGGGCAAGATGAACGGTAGATTAGTTCTTATAGGAACTGCTGTCGAAGCCGAAGCAGTAAGAGATGAGGGTGATGGTCCACCAGGTAGAAGCCCACGTGCCCTCAATGCCGCAATAAGAGGGTTCTCTGGAGGCCCTGGCTGTGGGGTGTTACTTGGCTGAGGAAACTGGGGCATTTGAGACAGTGAAGCTGGGATTTGAGGTGGTGGAGTTGAATGCTGACGCGAAGCAGTAGCTTTGATCAGCTCGGCGAGAGTGCTAGGGTTTAGGAGTTGCTGAAGTGGTTGTGAGACTGGTTGCGCTGAAGGGGTAGAGGTTTGGGGAGGAGCGGATATTGCCAAGCCATTCGAAGAGACGTGAGGAGCAGCTGACGCCGGTCTCGTGGCAGCAAGGGCGGACACCTGGTCGCGAACAAGTTTTAATTGCTCTGGGGCAAGCTGCTGCTTCTGTAGAATGGCCTGGAGGTCCACCAGTGCCTTTAGACGTTGTTGAGACACGGGGTTGAAGGGGCTATTAGCAAAGTCATTCTTCGCAGAAGCGATCAAAGCATCCACATCTCGGTTGAGGTAATTCAAATCAATATCTTGTTGATGAGACACGGAAGATGTCTGTGAAGCCCAAATTAGCTTTGAATGTAACGCGCAGAAGAGAGATGATCTCACTGGGGTGGAATGGCTATTGTGAGAATGAGAATATTGGGGGTGCTGTAGATGCCGAGGCATGCTCTGGGGTGGTGTAGGGCTGTTAGTCCATCCAGTTGGAGTTACATTCCCACGATTGCGGCCAAGGATGTCCGGCTGGGCTCTGGCTTGTTGTTGTTGCAAAGCTGCAGTGCGTGCTTTGATGAGAGCACTTTCAATGTTGCGCGTGATGTCCGGAGGAAAGACGGGGCGTGTATCTAAGGAGCCTGGGGCCGGTTGCTTCCATGTGTTGAGCATCTCATCCAGCTTCCTTCGGGTATTGCCGTCCACCAGCGTATAGACATTCATGAAGGTCTGATACATATTCCGACCCAAGAAGAGTGTGTAGGGGCTCCCAACGTTCTTGACGATGGAATCGGCTACATACAGGGCTGGAAGCTTCTGCGGGGGCGGTGTCTACACAGCAGTCAGTACTCATTTATACTACGCCTCCAAAAAATCAAGTGCACCTACTGATCGAATGTGGTTCTCCAACACTCGTGAGATGGCCATTGCGTGTTCGGTATTCTCCTTGGCAATGACGGTCAGGGTGCGAATCTGAATTCCATCATTGGTGGTTAGATCCTCCAGGGAACTCTTGTAATCCTCCGCAATTTCATCGGAAGACATGATGGTGAGAGTAAGGCGAGAGTGATCTGGATTTGTCAGAGGCGTCGAGAGCAAAAATCCGAATCAAGGCAAAATTTCAGGTTTGCGCAGTTCCCCTCGGCCTTTCTTTTGACTCCTTTTTTTTCTGTTCTGTGTGCCTCCAAAGAGGATTGTTCTCTTCTCTTCTCTTTTTGAATCTTGGCTGATAGCTTCTGTCCTTTGTTTCCTGTCACTATCAAGACTGACACTTCTTTTCTTAACCCTCGTTCTTGTTCCAAGGAACAAATTGTCTTGGATCAACGGAAAGACGGAGAAATAGTGGGAACTTGTAAATGCTTGCTAGCTATCTTCGCGAGAATTGAAACAACAACAGGATTCAGACGCTTGCTCTCAGTCCAACCCAAAACGTGATCTTCCAGTGCCTTTGTAAATCTACCAGCCAATGATGAATTGTCGAAGGATGATGATCCAACCGCCGAAAGTGGGAAGGAAGAGGAGGTCGAAGAAGCGCGTGTCGCGAAAAGCAGGCAGATGTAGAGAATGGCAAGGAATCAAAGAATAGTACAAAGACCAAGGGAATGCAAGTAAGCAGCGCTGGAGAGTAGTGTAGCAATCAAAATTGCAATATTGCGAAGACAAGGAAAAACTGAACAGTGGAGGAGTCGATGCCGCAACAGAAAGGGATTGTCCGAAATACAGTCATGTGATCAAGAGATGACGCCAGGTGCCTTTGGGCTTCTCCCTTGTCACCTCATGACCGCAGCACTGCTACCAAATTGACATATACATCCAACTTCCTTGAAACATATTATCATATTTACAAACATGAGGTTTACCTTTGCGGCTGCCCTGCTGGCTCTGCCCTTAGCACTAGCTGGATCGCTGAAATCCGTCATCATTACTTTCCCCAAGGGAACGCCTGACTCGGTGGTTACCCAGGCCAAAGAGTCTCTGGTGGCTTCAGTACGCAGTGCATCTCTGTTGTCATGAGGCTGTTATGGTTCTGAGCTGATCTTTATAGGGTGGTGTCATCACACATGAGTACCGTAAGTACAGAGTACAGCGTTGACTCCTCTTACTCTAAGAAGATACCGGAATATCATTTTTTTGATATATTGTCGCTAACGTACATTCTTCATGCAGATTTGATCAAGTACGGCTTTTACAGATGTTCCTTGCTCATATCACACTTTCTAACTATGGCTTTAGTGGCTTCGCCGCAGAGGCTCCGGTGAGCGCTCTCCAGACCCTCTCCACGCAGGATACGGAATACCACCCCAATATCGAAGAAGATAAGGTTGTGAATGCATATGGAGACTATGCAGCTGCAAACTAGGATCCCCCTTCGGGAAGGTACTGGGGTTGTCGTTCCCATGGCACAGCTGGCTCTGGGCATACAACATACATTATAGCCGGTCGCAAGGCTGGCAGAATTACGCTGGGATGAATCAATCAGAATAACACTATTTTTTGGGGAATTATAAGTGGATTAATGCTACATATCTCGGCGTTTTGGTGTATACGATGCGGAGTAAATGGTTGAGCACGTAAGGCTTTTGGGGGCAATGTATTATCATTGTTTCGATTTCTTACAAGTTACTCGACGCATTTGACATCTAAATTTATTCCTTTCCAATATCGATTTATTGTATAGTGTTCCTTGTGTACTTGAATATATGTATTGCCACCTTTACAAGTGAATAGTATGCATGGACACAAAAGGCCGATCCTCCCCCGCTAGTTGATTTCGGTCCTTGTGGCTCCCCCGAATGCGCGTGGATCCGCTGGAAACTCCCTGAGAACCACAGAGAAACGCAACTTCCACTGTTGATCGCTCTCTTTGGGGACTTTGAAATGCTGCAATTGCAACGGGCTTCTTTGACATTCGATTAAACGCGTCGTTAATCGCCAAGATGGCGTCGGAACACACAGTGACCAAGGTTCTGTTGGAATGGATCAATAGCTTTGCCCTCGGCAAGACTCTCCGAGCTACTGATGAATTGACTGATGGTATCATTTTATGGGAGATCCTTCAGGATATTGATCCTCAGTATTTTCTCGAGGAGATCCCAGAGCGCAACTCCTCCGACCATTGGGTGGCCAAGTGGCAGAACCTGAAGCACATCCACAAACTACTGCTCAACTACATTCGGCACCAAAACGACGATACCTTACCCTCCGGTCTCGATCCGTCACCCGATCTCGAAGCTGTTGCAGAAAAAGCCTCTGCCAAAGAGACGAACAAGCTGTTGAAGCTTCTCCTGATCGCGGCTATCAGCTCCCCAAACGCCGGAACATATGTGCAAACACTTCAGGAGTTGAGCACCTCGACTCAAGAAGGGCTCAAGGATATTATCGAGGAGGCGCATAATGGCCAATATGAGCCAATGGACGCTGCGGACGAGCTTAGGGAAGACCTGGCCAAACATGACCGCCCCGTGGACATCGAACTGCAGTTCGAAGAGCGAGTTGGAAAGGTGCTTGCGGAGAACGATCGTTTGACACACGAGAAAAAGGAATTAGAGAAAGCGCTGGAGGACCTGCACAATCGCCTGGCGCGTCTTCAGGAGAACAATGATACCCTCCAGAACCGCCTCGCCTCCACCGAGGACCGGCTGGTGACCTTGAAATCTGGAAAGGGGGACATCGGGTTCAATGCAAAGGCACTAGAGAGCAAAACCCGTCAACAGGATGACCTCATCGCATCCCAGGAGGCGAAGTTGACTGCCGCCCAGGACGAAATCGACAGTCTCCGAATGACAGTCGAATCCTTGCGTGTCAAGAATCAACGCTATCAGAAGTTGCAGGATGATTATGATGAGCTTCGCACCGAGAAGGATCAACTGGCACGCAAGGCGAACGCGGCTGAGAAGTACCGGCAGAAGTTGCAAGCCAGCCAAGACTTCGAGAAAGAGAACCAAACCCTCAAGAACCAGATCAAAGACCTTCAGCAACAGCTGAAGGAATCAGACTCACAGCAGCGGTGGTCCTCGGAGCGCGAGGTAGAACTGGAAGAATATCGCAAGCTTCTACCGCAAGTCGAGCAGGAATGTAATGAGATTCAGAACTTGAAGAAACAACTCGAGTTCAATAACCATGCCCTAACGGAGCGCCTTGAAAGCGCAGATGAACAGCACGAGAGAGACGATGCATTGATTAGCGAACTACGTGAACGTTTAGGCGAAATAGATGGTTTGCCGGGCAGCCAATCTCCTGGATCTGAGACGCCAAAGATGCAAGGGACATTACACAAGGACTTTGAGGCACTCGGTGTCAAAGAGTCCCAGCTGTATGTGTACACTTTCTTTCTAAGACTGCATCGGACGCTAACTGTTCACAGTAAATCCGAGAATGATGACTTGAAGCGAGAAATGGAGTCGATCAAAGCACCTTCGGCCGTATGTATACCATTCTATTGATCGTCTCCTATTACTGATAGTTGCTAGCCGGGCTCTCACACTGGAGGCTTTTCTGAGAATTTCGCTGCATCTGTACAGCTGGCACGTTCTGGTTCCACTCAAAGGTTTGATCGACCCACGCCTTATTGCCAAGCATGGAATATCTAACACACTTTACAGTGAGGACTATTGGAAATTATACGAGAACTATACTGGTGCTCTTAGAAAGATTGCAGAGGTCCAAGACACCTTGGAAGCGGCCAAAAGGGACCTGTCTGATGCACAAGCTGAACGTAAGCCAATCATTGCTCTGCACACTCAAAAATCTCCTGGCTTACAAGTTCAAAGTTGGTCTTGTCAATATGGAGCAGGTCGACATGCTCCGAGGACTTGAAGAGTATAATTCAGATGAATTAACAAGAATCCGAGGTGACTGGGAGAGCTTAACACAGAACGTCCATCATCTAGAGGCCGAAGTGGATGCCAGTCAGACCCTGGTGCGCGAGGTCTGCGCTGAACGAGAGGAATTACGCAAGATGCTCGACAGCAAGCAAAGCGAGATCAGCTCCGAAGATCAGGAAGTGATGAACGAGATGCAGATGCTCTTAGGTGAATTTGAAACCCACAATACCGAGGCCGGCGAAGTGCCCCAGAAATCTAGCTTCGAGCTCTTGAAACAATGTGCAGGAGTTCTGGAGAAAAATGTTGAACGACTCGCTCAGCGTGCGGAGGTTAGTTTTCTACATGAATCATTGCTGCTTCTTATTTGATGCGCTGACTCTCGTTTGTTTCTACAGTACATTCAGCAACAAAACGAGCTGGTCAAGTCACTTCGTGAGCGGATGAAGAACTACGAAGAAAACTTGGATGATGGCATTCCTAAAGAGCGAGAGGTAAGTCAAATATGGAGTGGCGAAACATGCTTCGCCCCCGATTCTACTAGTTGTTAGTAGTAAGCTAATGCCACTTTCTAGGTCGAGCTTCAGAATATCATTGATAGCCAAGCTCGAGAACTCAGCCTTGTGGGCTCGGCTTGGTACCACCTCCAGAGCCGTTGGCAGAACAACAATATGACGGTATCACGATATCGACATGGAGCCAGCACAGGAGATTCCAAGGGCTGGCTGGCAAAGCAAAGAAGTGCTGTTGCTGGTCAGTAAGGCGCCTTACAGCCAAAGTTTTGAGTCCCGCTCTTTTGCGTTTGCATTTGCGTTTCGTTTCGTTCCTTTTTTTTTTTTTTTTTTTTTTTTTTTTGGTTTACTGCATTGTATGTTGATATTCCCACCACATCGTACTCATCCCGTTTCATTCATGTGGTTATTGCTACCTACCTACATATATATACATATATACGCAATAGAATTTGCAGATGTCACTTCAATAGGATATATCACCCATTCGCGTTATAATAGTAGGGTGGGTTCGTCGCATTCGGAAAATGTAAGCTACCTAGGTAGATCCCCACGGGAAATAAACATGTCTATGAAAAATACAAAATTCTGGGGAACCAAATCTGGCCCAAGAAAGAAGAATTAGAAAATGGGAAGATGCAACAATTATAGAACACGGCCTCTATACAACCTGACCGAAAGCGGGAATCAGAGTCTGTGCCAGCCAGAAGCTGAAGACCAGCTTGGGACCTGTCATCAGCAGCTTGGGGGTCAAGCCCTTGAAGAAACTGGTAGGACCCTCGTTCTTGAGCATATTCGAGACGATCTTGAAGCCCGACTCAGGGTTCTCGAAGTTGCGGTTCTGGATACGGGTCTTGATGACATCGAGGGGAGCGGACACGACCAGAGAGGCGCTAGCACCGCAGACTGAGGCAACGAAGTTCTGGCCCCAGGTGGCCTTGTTGTAGTCAGACAGCTTGTAAATCTTTTCCTTGGCGAAAGCAGATCCACCGAAGAGCTGTAGTGAAGTTAGTGGTTATAGTGATAGCAGAGTCGGGGGTGATATGCATACAGCGAAGGAGCCAGGGGCGTTACGAGCGGCAGTCCAGCCGGCACCACGATACAGACCCATACCCTCATCGGCCACAATCTTGAAGAGGCCACGGCCACGGAACGCCTCGGGGTTAGTCTGGCGCTTGATCTTGAGGACATCCAAAGGAAGCAGGACGATCTCTCCAATACCGATCAAACTAGAGATTTGTCAGTCAGGCAAAGTCATGTACTCTATTATTCGACTGTTCCTACCTTCCAGCAGTGGCATGCATAATAGCCTTTCCGGTGCCCTTGCCAAATGCCTTATCGAAATCGGCACCATGGTGCTGGGCGAGGTAATCGCGTGCAAAAGGCTGACCACCATACTTGTAGATGCGCTGAAGTACCTATAGATTTGAAGTGATATGAGTCGTCGATTCGGCCAAAATGTTTTGTCAGAGAGCCACGAACCTTGTAACCGGCGGCGTATCCCAGACCAGGGAATAGAGAGGTGAACTTGCGGCCGATTGGAGCATTGGCGTGCTCTCTGAAAACAACCTCCTTGAAAGCGGTGGCGCTGGTGATCTATCAAGAGCAAGTCAGCAATGAGACATATGTGTACTGTAGGTAAAGAATGCGAATCTCACCCGGGTCTGGTTGCTCATCAATCGCTTAGCAGTGGTGTCAACCTAAGCAAAGATATCAGTCTCGGGTCGTAATGGCTCGTAAATCGAGGGAAATCGGTCGTACGGGGTGGAAAATCATCAATTCGGCAATACCGGCACAGCCTAGAAGTGTCACAGGTCAGTGATGAGTTCGAGTTTTGAGCATTTCATGACTTACCGGAACCGAGAAGACGAGCAGTGGCAGATTCCTTCTTGGCATCCTTGGAGGCAGGGCCAGCACCGGTAGCAATAGCGGGAGACATATTTTCCAATTGTAAAAAAATCCCAGAAAGACTGATAAATGACAACGCCGGTGATGGATTCAGGAACATGTGCCCTCGGAGTTAAATTTTATTGCGCACCCGGATTGACACTAGTCCCGTTTCGGAGCCGCCATCGGAGAGCCAAGGAGTATAACAGTGGAGACTCCTGTTGACATCTATCGACAACGTACGGAGTATATACAACAGATGCGGTTGATCATGAAACCTTAGGAAGAAATCATATTGCTCTTGGTGTAAAGGACACTTTATCTAGCCTAATTTGTGGGTTGTTTCCAAGTGCTTCATCGTAGCTTGATGGTCAAACAAACGGGGGGGAAAAAGAAAAAAGGGAGAAATAAAAGGGAGAAAACCCCCCAGAATATTACCACAACCAGGCAGAGCTCATAATGATTGTAGTTGCAGCTATAGAGCATAGTTGCCAAGCAAATCCGAGGGGGAAAAATGCGCAGAACACCGAATAAAACGCCAGTGACCAAAACCAGTGCTCCGAGGCTGCAGAAGCATTCTTGCTTGCCCGATCCTTCATTATCGACTCACATGTGTAGGCGAGAGAGCAGGCAAGCAGCCAAACTATCGAGAATGGTAGACAAGCCTCACAGATCGCCGAACGTATTCTCGCCCGAGTATCTAACGGTTATGTCAGAATGATTTCATCTACCGATCGAAAGAGAGGGACAAACATACGTGATGTACAAGAAGCCATCTTCGTCCTTGTGCTCTTCGTAGATGCTGCTCATGAGGGCAGCAGTTGGGGGTAGGACCTCATCAACGAAGATAAAGATAGCCTTCTCAGGAGAAAGCTTTATGCGCTTGCGAATAACGTAGACGAACTGCCCTACGGTGAGGTCGGCCGGCACCAGATACTTCTTTTTATCAATGGTGGCAATGTCCGATTTCTCGACTTTCTCGCAGATGACCTGTAGATCGAGAGTCCGTAAGTTACCGAACAAGCGGTGAGGAACCTAAGAAGGTGGTGGTTGCAACCACCTTCGCCGATCAGAAAACCTCTTGCGAACAAAGAAACTTACAGGAATACGATCAGCATATTTCTGGCGAATGCGCTCGGCCTCAGCCTTTCGCTTCTCAAAAGGGTGCTCGTCCTTGAACTTGGATCGCATCGTGGCTGATAAGGGTAGATAAGTGAGAGCGGGTCAGGTGGAGAGGGAGATCGAAACACCAAACTCTCTGGTGTGAAGTTGAAAGCAGTATTGGCTTCTTGATGTGGGAGCTCTGTATTTGATGCTTTTTGCAAGAAATAGGAACAGAAGAGAGATGGAGAGGGGTGATGAGGATGACAAGGCGACTTCCCCGCTGACGTTACGATAATACCATCACGGGATCGGCTGGCGGTGAGTCAGAGTCACGCGGCAGAAATCAGATGGATATACATATTGAGAGTTTTGCTCACATGACAAGATTTTAATGTACTTAGTTTGAATCATGTCTAGAGAACTATCCAATCTGCTAGTTGGATCTTCCAAATCCGTAGTCAGGTATCACACTGATACTGGTTTCACGGGAGTATGGAGTATGGAGTGGTGCCTGGTTCAGGATGGTCCGGAACCCCAGGGCCGCTTATCGTGCTTATCTCATCCAGACAAACAGATCAAACTCCTGATGTCAGCTCTAAGAAAGTCGTACGATTTGAGACCGAGGTTGCGTGGTACTTTACGTGGTACTTTGCCGGATCATTGATTCGTTCTCAATCTCTTTCTCAAATCATTATTTGTGCGAGTCTAAGGTATTATTCTCTCGGTCTTGGCCATTGATCCTTTGCTCTTGTGTTGAGACCGTCTGCTCAAGCAACACTGTTGCAAAATGGCCACCCGATCATATATGCCTCTACGCAGCTCGCTGTCACTGTTGTCTGCTCGGAATGCCCGCCTTGCTGGTGGAAGCGCTAGACTCTCGCTTCGGGGATATTCTACCGCGCAGAAAGTACCTCAACCCAAACCTTTCACCGTTTGGCGGCCCTACCTGCGTCTCGCCTTTGGCGTGCCATTCATTGGCGCAATCATATACTCAATGGTATGACACCACGCTTTCAAATCCACGGGAAAACGTTGCTCATGTCTATCAGATGACAGAAGAAGTCACGGAACTGGACTCCCCATCCATGGTTGAAGTGGATGAGGCCCTGAAACAATCATCGAAAATCAACGAGTCCTCGCCGATGCGTTTACGGATGGAAAAACTCATCAAACAGCATCAGCAAAAGATTATCGAGGAACTAGGCAGGATTGATGGGCAACAGTTCAAGACTGATACCTGGTCGCGTCCCAATGGCGGTGGGGGCGTTTCGTGTGTGCTTCAAGACGGAAATGTCTTTGAGAAGGCGGGCGTCAACGTTTCTGTGGTGTACGGCAAATTGCCGCGCCCAGCCATTGAGAAAATGCGTGCTGACCACAAGTCCTTTGTTGGTTCGGATGTAGATTCGCTGGATTTCTTCGCCGCCGGCCTCTCGTTGGTCTTGCACCCACACAATCCCATGGCTCCAACTGTGCATCTTAACTACCGATACTTCGAAACCTCTGATCCCAAGGATCCTATCAACGGGGACAAAAACTGGTGGTTTGGAGGTGGCACGGATCTGACCCCGACATACCTCTTCCCAGAGGATGCTCAGCACTTCCACAAGACCATTAAGGATGCATGCGACCGCCATGACGCTACATACTACCCCAAGTTTAAAGCTTGGTGTGACAAGTACTTCTACCTCCCACACCGTGGTGAGTGCCGTGGTGTTGGAGGCATCTTCTTCGATGACCTCGACGCCAGCTTCCTTCAAACATCAGCAGGTTCATCCTCCAATCCTCAGGAGACGCTGTTCTCGTTCGTTTCGGATGGCCTCGCATCTTTCCTCCCGTCCTATGTACCCATCATTGAGCGACGCAAGGACATGCTCTACACTCCTGAGCAAAAGGAATGGCAGCAGCTACGTCGGGGCCGCTACGTGGAGTTCAACCTTGTCTATGATCGCGGAACAAGCTTTGGTTTGCGCACTCCAAATGCGCGTATTGAAAGCATCTTGATGAGTCTGCCGCGCACCGCTAGCTGGGCCTATATGGACCCGGTTTCTGGTACGAGGACAGAGAACATGTCGGTGGGCGATGAAGACGAGCTAGCGGAGGATAAAACCAGAGAAAAGGAAATTATGGATGTGCTGCGACACCCTCGGCAATGGGCATGATTCTCTTATACGCCATCTTAGATATATGTTGTATTATTGTGTTTCCTTGATTTTTATATGTATATTACCTAGATATGTACAACCTACCAACCATTTTGTTCTAAATATGAATCGTTTCTCTCTATAATACCCGGTCTCTCCGCGATACGTCATTTCAGGCAGAACATACCTTCAGATATACTCCAACAAACACAATGAAGCTAAGGTATTGTCATTCTCATTTATTGACAAGCGTTGACTTCGGTTTGAGGGGCTTGTTCGACTACTATCTATGTGTCCTTACACAAATTTTTAGTTTTCCTTCATCTAGTTAATTTGGCCAGCCTCCTGACATCTAATGGTAAGATGGCCGAGTTGGTCCAAGGCGCCAGGTTAAGGTATACCTTAACTCCACAACTAGCAATAGTTTCCTGGTCTCGAAAGGGGCGTGGGTTCGAATCCCACTCTTATCATCTCTTTTTTTTTGGTTGATTTTTGGGTCTACAACTATCACTATCCAAGTGAGAAAGTAGCGAGAAAGTATACCTCGCCAATGCTTGAGGGGAAAGGGACAATACAATGTACAATAGTTGGAGACTAGGTGGTCATAACTATGTCAGATTATGGTTGTTGCCTGGTGATCACCAATTCCTAGTTTGGGTGTGAATCCTGTACTATATCAGCAAAGGCATATTTATCCCATCTGGTCTCCTGTTCATTCTCTAGTGTAGTTGGGCCAAAAAGGTATGACTAGGAGTGCTGTCATAGGTCTATCTGAAATCGATTGGCCACCTCAAGATATACAACCATTTAACAGCCTCCGGCATTGTTCATGGACGGGCTGGACAGACTCTATCATTTCCTTAGCTCCGGGATCGTGTGGCATGGCATATAGAGTTATAGACACATGTATAGGGCGGCTTGCCTTGCTTAAATGAAGCTGGTCGTTTCCCTCCCCTGCTGCCCGCCTTTGATGTCTATGATACGGGCGGAAGAGCTTCTGCGAAGTCCGTATGTCGTACAATTCCGTGTGGCTATGATTATGTTAAGACCAGGGGGGCACAAGTATAGAGACTCCAGACTACCTATGCTTCAACCCTCACGGTAGCTCCACACTCGAGGCGAACTGATTTGGCTGAATTTAAAGCAGAATGACCTAACGCCCTTTCAATGAACCACTCCATTCCTTCCCTGTACTTGGATGTTTGCCGGTCAGCTCTCGATACTGGCCCTAGTGGTGTTTATCGAACACTGACTTAATGTTGCACGGTATACTGTGTGTATTTAAGTCCTTGGGGGGAGGGGTGGAGTCCATCGTATCCTTCCGTGCAACGCCCGCTGTCTACTTTCCGCTCCACCTGTGCTCAACTGTTGGCCGGCCAGCAATACTTCAATGCTGGCCAAGATTATGTCCAACTAGTATAATATTGTTCTCGAGCTAATATCCCCAACAGACTTTCCATATTCGGACTTTTATACCGTGGGAACTCTCAAAAACCATACGAGATGCTCACCCGGTGCAAATAAGTGCTATAATAACTATGACCATACTACCTTGGTAGTCGGCTAGTGCATGATAGGACGAATCGATCATGTAAAACCATTGTCATTGACTCATTTATACTTGGGCCCGGTGCGTTTCTGTTCTTGTTGTTTCTATGGGCGCGGTTTCAGCAACTCGATTTGGTCCGACTTTTTCATATGCTACATCTCATTCTATCTTTATAGCATGCGGGTTATGCCCTGGATATGGGCTTTCAGAGCAACCACTCGCGGGCAGCACTGGTCGGTGGGAAGCTTGATCAGCAATGTCTGGGGATCAGGAACAGGTCTCGAGTACATTCAACGTTAGAGCCATATAGCGGGACAAATTAGCAGGGGAGCGAATATGGAACACCAGCTTTTGACCAGGCCCGGTGAATATATGACGTATTGGGTGCATATCTATGAATGCTGTAATCGGTGTCTCTATTGTAATGTCATGATGGGTTCGGGTGTTACCTGCACACCTGTATATACAGTGGACGAGACGTCCGATTCATCATCCAGGTGTTAAAGAGGTATCTCTCTTTGTATCTTAGTTATGTTTTGTTTGGTATACCATGGACGACATATACTCATCCATCAGCGATCAATCTATAAGTCCGTCACAGACATACCCAGACTTCTAGTATCTAACCCAACGAGCCACTTTGATCTACCGTAGCAGTGGAGGGAATTAAGATGCAATGATTCTAAAGATACGACACCCATAAATGAACCTGCCTCTGACATTCATTCTATATGACTGCGGATTTTGAGGTTGTGTTTTCCGATGTCTCTTTGTCTTATATATCCATGACGAAGAAGACGAAGAAGGAGAGGACAGCCCTTGCATATGCACGTACACATCTATTTATACACAACATGTAGGCAACAACCGAACACACCAAGATAAAACAAGATAAAACAAAAATATAGGTTATAAGTAAGTAAGATCAAGCATACTGGGCCTATATGAGTGGACTGAAGGCAAAATTATTATTTTCGATTCTTTGACACCCATTTGACAGTGAGGTACTTAAGGCTCACTATGTCCTTTGCCTTATGTAGTCAATTTGGTCAACCTCCTGACATCCAATGGTAAGATGGCCGAGTTGGTCCAAGGCGCCAGGTTAAGGTATACCTTAACTCCACAACTAGCGATAGTTTCCTGGTCTCGAAAGGGGCGTGGGTTCGAATCCCACTCTTATCATCTTCTTTTTTTTCTTTTTTTCCCCCATGTTCATCTTTAATTCCAGTCCATAGTGCTCTCTGTATGTCAAATTGGAATGCCACGCTTTCAATGCCTGATTATCTTTATCTAATAACATGAAAATCGTATACATTTTGTCGACCAAAACATCACGGCTCTACGGAATTTAGATATACCAGGATACCTATATCTGCTATATACGACCAGGCAATGGCGCTGAAAGAGAGAGAGCATAAATGCACATGGCCTGGATGTTCTTATATAGATTTTGATGTAGGCTGCATGTCTATCTATACAAATACGTTACTAACCCCTCCAACATGTATGCCTTGGTCTTATGTACTGGCTAAGGCGATGTGAAGGCATTGGTGGCAGGCAATGCAGTAGTCACTGGGGGATGGCAACGGAAGGCCGTGGTGAGAAAAAGAACAAAGGATACAAACAATCGATTCGTATGTTTTCAATCTTATGGTGTAACTGTTGAGAGGTATGGGATGCTATTGGTGTGATAAGTACCTAGTCGTGGTATAATAATCCAACATTCCAATCTTATAGTCGTAAAAGGGACCCTTAGGTGACATATCTATCTGAGCGGATAGAAATATGGATATACTTAGTATGTGTGATGAGGATGCGAAAGTGGCTCTGATTCCAAGTAATCCCTCGTCGAGACTTGAGATTTGTTATTTGTGGCCGATCAAGTAGGCTACTCAATCGGGACATTGCTCTGTGGTTATACGTGGTGAATCATGTCTCCTCGTTGGTCTATCTAACATCAATTGTGCCCGTAAGACTCTGTGTAGAACCGTCCCTTAGCAGTACAGTACGAAAGGATTTCCACGGATAAAGCCGCAGTTTCATTTTTAGATCAATATAAATTGTGGTTAATACTGGCGAATGGAACCCAGTCTCGATGGACCAACCTCGGAATTTTCCTACGTGAGAACGCACAGCCCTGCCATTTCCACGCCCATCTTGCCAACACTCACTTGAAATCAATGGAGAATGTTCTAGTGAGCAAGACAGCAGACGCGACAAAGAAAAAAAGATGATAAGAGTGGGATTCGAACCCACGCCCCTTTCGAGACCAGGAAACTATTGCTAGTTGTGGAGTTAAGGTATACCTTAACCTGGCGCCTTGGACCAACTCGGCCATCTTACCATTGGATGTTTGGAGAGTCGAAATATGGTTATATTAACCAATTTGAAAATATCCTCGGCCACAACCAAAAAACGCATGTGCAACGCTCAAGACACGGCGAAGGCCGACACCCGTTCTTCCGATAATCCACTCATATAAACTCGTATGATCCTAATAACCGACGGCAAAATGCGTTGTATCTGTAAAATGCGAAGGATGCACGAGTGTTGTGATTTGCATCAGCCGAGGTCGTGGCCTCGGCGAAGCATGAGGTTGCGGCCCGTTCTATACAACGTTGGTGCTTCGAACCGCAAGTGTCATTACAAGTGCCATCGGGCGTTTTCTGGCACCAACTTGGTACTTGACCTAAGGGTAATGTCAGGTATTGAATCCTTCCTATTTATTTGGTTAATACCAGCATTTATGGAGAACTCGTTGGACTGAAGGACTGAAAGGGCCGATTCACGCGCCGACATCGGAGGATTCTCTCTGTCTGGGGTCTAATGCCATCATCGACGAAAGACGGGGAGCTTGTCGATCATCAGATCTGGCTCTTGGGATTGTGAATGGCTTGGAAATTAAATTCAGGGTTATGATCTTCTGGTCCGCATTGTATTGTCGATGTCCACCAAGTGACATTCGAAGACTTGAGAAATGAAAAGGGAAAAAAGTAGAACAGAACAATACATTTCATAAGAGAAGGATGAAAAAGAAAGAATGAAAATTCGAGCAGCAGATTGCTGAGAAAGAATTTTTTTTTAAAAAAAAACCGCAAATGTATTCAATGGGTATCGGTTCTGTCCACAAGTCCGGACTAAATATGAAGTGATATGAGCAATTGCATCTAGACTAAAACAAATCTCTATTCCGAAAAACCACTGCACAGCAGAAGGGTATCTCAAACCTTCTCTAGTGCTTCGCGGTGACAGTGTCGCCGGTCAGTTTTTCGACTGCTTCTTTGGCCCTATTCGGTAGAAAGGAGATATGGTTAGCCCGAGGTTTCACATGATAACAAGAGGGAAAGTGGATCGATGACGATAGAATGAGGGGAAAAGTCTGGAGAAGGGGGGCGAGAAGTGGAAACACTTACATGTCACCAAGAGCCACCATGCAGACGGTCTGCCAGATGCCCAGGCCGATACGAGG